GTGTATGGTACTTTAATAATCAGTATGACTGTACGGTACATATATATATATATATAATTTATTCATTGGCTTGTAGAATTCAATTGATATAAATACAGTATCAGTGTTATTGATAACTCTGTAATTAGTTCATGAATGGTAACTGTATATGTTGCTTTGAAAGTAAGAGGTGAATATTTCACTTTGAATATATTTTTGACACCCATGTGTAAACTAATTTTATTGCCACCATTTTATTTCATTTTACCATGCTAGAATACATATACTTAGTTTTTCAATAATAAGTCTTTTTGCTCTAGATTTGATAGTATATTTTAAATGTCCTGAAAAAAAATCTATGGATTAACCATTGTTCTCGTCCATGTACATGTTTCATCTATTTTGGAAGGATGGAAAATAAATGTCTGAATAAATTACCTCAAGCCCTGAATGTCATTGAGGGATCTTGGCAAACTACAATATTATGAAATTTTGTATCTCTAAAAGGAATGTTAGTCCAAAAATGGTTCAATTCCATTCACTATTTACAAAGATAGAAAGAATTTCATCCATTTGTTGAGGAAGAATTCCAAAAGTTAGTCTTGTCGTCAAAGAAAACAACGTGTCCATTGAATTCCATTCCGTCAACCATTGTCTGTGACTACTTGGATATGCTTCTGCCTGTCATAACCTCCATAGTAAATTATAGCTTGCAAAGTGGAATTTTTCCTGAAATCTTCAAGCAGGCCACTCTATGTCCATTGCTTAAAAAGGATTCACTTGATCGAAATGTTTTTAAAAACTTGCGCCCTGTTCCAAATCTATTGTTCCTCTCAAAACTTTTAGAGAAAGCTGTCAACATAGACTGCTTGCATACATATCAAATAACAATCTTTAGGAAAATTTCAATCAGCTTATCGTTCTGAGAGTTGTGAATGATCTGAGACATTTAGTTGACAGTGGTGATATAGCAATACTCACTCTATTGGACCTTTTGGCTGCTCCTTGCTGATAGGTTCCAATTTGAATTCAGTATCACTGGAATGGCTCATAACTGGTTGATATAACAGATGGTTTAGATAAATAATATTCAATTGATGCTTGCTTGCTTAACCTGCGGCGTGCCCCAAGGATCGGTACTCGTTCCAATACTGTGTCTGCTATACATTCGTAATTTAGCTGGTATTATCGATAAACATGATATTGATCACCATTCCTATGCTGACGATACTAGGCTTGTCTTATCTTTCAAGTTCGAGGAGGTTACCAAGGCTCTGATTTGTGTGACTGATTGTTCACAGGATATTAAGAATTGGATGATCTCAAATAAACTCAAACTGAATGATGACAAAACTGAAGCTATGTTATTTGGAACAAATAGCCTTCAGAACAAGTCTCAAAAAAATGTTAAAATTGGAGCCTCAGTTATTCAGTTAGCTAGTGCTGTGAAGGATCTTGGTGTTTATCTAGATCATTATTTTCATTTGCGGCGCATCAGTGATATTCAACATCTCATTACGATTGACGCCTCCAAGTCTTTAGTACAGGCACTATTTCTGTCTAGAATAGACTATTGTAACAGTTTGTTTTCTGGGATTAATCAAACCAGTCTCTACAAGCTACAGAAAATACAGAATACAGCATCCAGAATCATATCACAAACTAAAACATCATCTCACATAACACCTATTCTAAAATCCATACATTGGTTACCAATTCAAGCTTGCCTCAACTTTAAGGTCCTGTGCCACACATACCAGTGTCTACAAAATCTTACACCCAGCTATTTATCAGAACTACATTTGTACTAACACTATATCAACTAAATTGGTCCCGTCTTTGAGATTTTATAACCAGAACACTTTTGTCGTTCCAAAGTCAAAACTGAAACATTTTGGTGACAGAAGTTTTAGGGTATTTGCTCCAAAATTGCTGAATGATTTACCTCTGAAAATCCGAAACAGTGAAACTTTGACTACTTTCAAATCATAGCTGAAGACTCACTTATTTTGGGAATGCTATGAGAATTAGACTTTCTATTCACTGTGTATATATAACTATTATTTCATTGTGCTTTGAGCATGCTTTTGGATGGATTTGACACTCTACAAATGTACATTAATATTATTAGGGTTTCACACTGCGTAGCCAGTGTGAAACACTATTGTTTTTGTTCGGATTATTCTTCTTATTATTCTTCTTATTATTATTATTTTTCCATTTGAGCATATCTCAGAAACTACTTGTTGGATCGATTCGATGTCTTCGGTTTTACTGGGAAAGTGGGTTTGACTTAAATTTTAAAGCTATTTCCAACGTTCTGCGACAATGCGAAATGTCTGAAATCACCGAAGTTGTCGTTTTTCAATATTTTGCCGTAATATTATCAATAATTGTCGGATTGTAATATTTGATACATTTTGACATAGCCAGAGACAAGGCACATAGCTAAGGTACTTTTGATTTTTTTATTTTCGACGAATCTTCGGAGATATTAGGCGCCAAATTTTGAAAATTTAAATTTTTACGAAAAAATTTGTTATTAATGAATATTTTTATGTGGTATATTACCAAGGGTTAAAGGGTCATCTGATTTGACAATATTTTTCCTTGGCCCCCATTGGCTAATTCAGTTTTTCAGTCCTGGATTAATTATTTATTGTTCGATTTGTATAAAACAAAGTTCATATGTTCCGCGGTCCAAAATGTCATTTTTTTTGTTACCGGTACATTTTCCTTTCGATAAGTGACGTAAATTTAGCAAAAACTGCAATTTTGACAGTTCGGTACCACTTTTTGAAAGCAAATATTATTTTTTCAAATCTGGTATGACTGAAAGGGTGTGCCCTGATAAGGCGCAGAAATCATCGTGCTCAGTTTTTTAAAAATTTTATTTCGTTTCGGATCATTTCGATTTAAAGGCGAAAAAAGGTGAAAAAATGAGCTATTCACAACCCATTCAGACTTTTCATATTTTAATATATTTTTTCGAAACTTTCATAAACTAGTAGCAATAATCCATACGAAGAGAATGTATGTGAAAATTAGTTTGTAATATGAGCAGTTGCCGAGAAATGGGCAATTTTGCATGAGTCACCCTTTACGCTAGTTTGCCTGTAAAAGAGTCAATTATTATTCGATTTTCATAAAAGTGACACCATTTGATGCGTAATGTCAATTTTAACAAGGTCAAACCAATTTAACATTTCCAATGTCACCGGAAGTGACGTAATTTGGGCAAAAATTGTATTTATAGCCTTCAAAACCAGTATTTTATTCAAATGAGTCGTATTTTATTCAAATGAGTCGTATTTGTTTTTTGTTTAAAATTTTGATATTTGATCCCAATCAACCAATAGAATGAACCCATACGATCATATAGGTATCACAAAATGGTTTCTAACTTGTTCAGTCGCGGAGAAATAGACGATTTTCAACAGGTAACTTTTCAAGGTTTGTGGTCCATAAAAGTGTCAATTATTATTCGATTTTCATAAATTTTCACCGTGTGATACCTAATGCCATTTACGATTTCATACAAGTAATTTAACACTTTTACTGTCACCGGAAGTAATGTCATTTTGGTAAAAACTGTATTTTTAGCCTTCAAAACAGATATTTTATTCAAATGAGTCTAATTTGTAATGTTTTTAAAATTATGATATTTGATTCCAATCAACAAATAGATTGAACCCATATGTTCATACAGATACCCAAAAATGGTTTCAAACTTGTACGGTTGCAGAGAAATAGACGATTTTCTACAAGTCCCTTTTTCAAGGTTTTTGGTCTATAAAAATGGCAATTATTATTCAATTTACATAAAAAAATTTCCATGTGATGCCTTATGCCATTTCTGATTTCATAAAACTAATTTAACATTTTCATTATCACCGGAAGTAATGTAATTTTGTCAGTATCACTTACATGTAACAATTGATATTGCTGGATTTGGTTGATTCTGCGTACATTTTATTTGATGTGTGCAATGCTTACGTGGAAACTTGTTTAATGGTTTCATCGGTACCGGAAGTGACATATGTTCAAGGGTAACGGCGCACCAGTGAAACCGGTCATTATTGCGTCGCAGTTCTAGTTATTTATTTAAAATTTATCAACATTCAGCATTATCTGCAGATAATATAAATGGAATAGTGTCAAAACAGCTTTCTAGCACCACCTATAATCTTTGTTAAAATATGGGCATCCTTTTAATCTGATTGAATCCAAGCCGAGAGATATCTACCATTTATATTTTGATTTTGTTTCTTAATTATATGAGGGTTTGATGGCCGAATGGTTAGCGTGTGCGCACTGTATCATAAGGCCTGTCATTGAGTCAACTAGCATGGTTTCAATTCCCCGGTTGTACATTACAAGGAGTAGAGTCGCCTGTCCAACCTCGTGGGTTTTCTCAGGGTCCTCCGGTTTCCTCTCACTGCTAAAGACCCCTACGCGCAAGCAAATTATTGAAATAAAATTGAACCATGGGTTAGTCCCAAAATGACCTAGTCTGTTGAGTGGACATTAAACCCCATTTCTCTCTCTTTCTTAATTAAATAACAATTTGAGTACAGTTTAGAAGCCATGGAAAAATTGATATTTTGCAAACAATTCAAATACTACGCACTGAGACTTTAATGTTAATGTAGCTGTACAAAGTTGATACTGTAGTTAGAGATAAAGCACAAGGTGAAATATATTCATTTACACAATAGATTTATTTATTATGTAAATGGTGCAATTAGTTGCACTGAAGTGTTACTGTCATTTCAAATGCTTTTTAAATTTCTTTTGGAATTTCAATGAAATATCTGAATAAAAGATTTCATTCATAACATTGTTGTAATTGTAACAACACAAGGAAGTTATATATATTTTTTTTAGTCAATAGGCCATTATATTACAATGAAGTATACTGATTTCAAACTTTAGGTGACACCTTAGCTACCTGTAGAGGGTTATGAGTATATGTTGATTATGTTGGATTTGAAAGATAATTTTAGAAATTATGATTTCAGCTCGAGATGCAGATGAAAGAGAAAGGTGGATAGAAGCATTAGAAAATACAGTACTACGTCATTCACATATAGGTCAGGTATGTAGTTAATACAGATAGTTAATGCTGTGGCATGAATGTAATATTAATTGATACAGATGTTCATGTTGTATAGAACTTTATGGTAAATAAAACAATCGTTAGCTTCATATACAATGTATGTGGACATCCAAACTTGATAAGAAGTGATAACAGATACTACTTGTTGGCACCTGTCACTGTTTATATGTACATAGTCCTTCTGTAGATTATTAATACGTTGTTTCATTTATTTTCGTTTTAAAGTAGCTAAGTCTTTAACTCAGTATTTAAGACACAATGAAAATTTTAAACTTGGCACACGAATCGTGAGCTGGAATGCTTTTGGCCATCATTTTAATGAGCCACTCAGTGAACTAGGCTTAACATATCCCACCAGGAAAGACTACCAGAGTAGACTGAAATAACCAGACAGCAAAGACTGCCATTCAGTATGCACTCTTCGCGTATTTCGCCAAACATAACTGATTAGAAATTACAGTAAAAAAAGAAACGATTGAATGTAAATCAGTTTATATACATTCATATTACATTATTATATGCATTGTGACCTGTTTGTGTCCATTTCTAGGTGTCAAAGAATAGCGATTTAGCTCCTTTAACCTTTTACTTTATCATACACAGTAAAGACTGTACCTTTTGCTCATTGGTGGGTTTTACATGATCTGGTTTGAATTACTGTATTAATTTCATATATTGTATAATTTTATGTTGTAGCTAATAAAAATGAACTTTTTGGGGTGTTTTGTTTGCTAAACATAACATTTCTTTTTAATATGTAATAGCAATTTATATTAGTAATAAGATATACCATATTAGTTACATTAAGTCATGTTATCTATTGAGTGGTTTCAATAAAATTTCAGATATTAGGTCAATACATGTTAGTGACTGAACTTTTTTTTCTGTGAGTAAATAATACATTGCAGGTTCAAAATTATAATTATGTGAGGTAATGTCACATTGTAGATTAAACAATTTGCTTAAAATTATTTTTTAAAGTCTGATTGTCCGATTTAGGGAGTATTTTGATACTTTTCATTGGGTGGGTGTGTGGGAGCAAATCAGACATCCTAAGTTTAAACCGGCTGAAAATTCTGTTTTAAAACTTGATTTAAGTATTTTGGAAACGTTTACTAGTTTATATAAGGATAATTTTAATGTTTGTTCATGTTCTTGCATTATATAAACATATTACATGCATGTTTATGTTACTCAGCAAATGACCTGTTTCGGTAACACAGTCAGTAACACAGTCTATTGTATTTTACATGTACTTATTTTCTTCTTTTGTTTTTTTTGCAGAGATCTGGGGCGCAAGCTTCATATAAAATGGAAGATTTTGATCATAAATTAATGGAAACAGACACTTATTTACAACTATTGATAGATCAAGTTGAGGTGAATATTTTGTGTTCATTAATTAAAGGATATTTGCATATTTTCCATCATGTGATGAATAACTAAAACTATGGATTATTACAGGATATCTTTTACTAGTTATGGATTTCTTTAAGTTTCAAGCCATTGATATTTGATTAAATCACTGATAGAAGCTTTCAACCTATAAAAATAAGAAGAGCGTAAATTGAGATTGTTGGGCAGTGTTTCAAAGATTACTATTTACTTTGTGGATGCACTGGAGGCTAAAGTTATCATCCGATTAATGTGAAGTGATACACAGTGTTTATGTTCAAGAGTCAAAGGTTGAATTAGGGGTCAGGGGTCATATTGTGATGTAATAATATAACTCTATCACATATTGGAGATCATTCCGCATGAACCATGAACTATCCAATGGGTTTTCATTTTATAACCATGTAGGTAGACTGTTGTTATAAATAAGATAAGAGGCTAATTAAATATAAAAATCCTACTATTTGGCATACTATTACAAGGTTACAGTTGATGCACATGGCCTACTACTGCGATAAAGTCTTGAAAACCCTTATTAAAACATCATCCGTAATGGCTACATGCATGTACTTTATTATAGTGTCCATGATTAAAGTCTTGATGCATTGTTTTAACACTATAGGAATCCCTTCTAAACTACAATATCTCGAATAGGAATATTGGTCTAAAAGTGGTTCAATACCATTCAGTATTATAAAGTTATGATAAAATTGAAATTTCGTTGATCTATGCTGCTCGCTGTTAACAAAATACTGCTATCTTTTATTGATAGTGGAGAAACCTGATGGTCCTAGTTTAAATCCAAGCCAGTAGATGATCTAGCATTGGTGTTTTGATTTCTTAATTAGATGTTATATAATCAATCTAAGTACATATTTAGCATGGATTAAAGCGTGAGAAATTTGATATTTTAGCGAAAAAGGCAAATGACGCATCAAACCTTTAAGGTAATTGTATTTCACATATAATTGTGTCGTGTTGTGTCAAAACACGATTTTGATAAACCGACCTTACTATTTATTTTCTTAAAATGTTTTTCTTTTTTTTAAAAGACTTTAGAAAACAAGATTGCTGCTTGCCCTGATGAACTAGCTAAAGAGAAATACACTGTTATAAAAGTTAAGGCTGATGTAAGTATAATGTATTTGTGTGTATATATATTTATCTGTATGATGTTAGATGTAAGTAGAATAGTTGATGATGTAGTGTGTATTAAGTTGTGAATGATGATTATAATTGTATTTTTATATAGGATATGATAGAAGCTATTAAACATACAATCATGATGTTACAGATTTCAAAGGTAAGTTTAAAAGATCAAGCCACCTCCCCACAAAAAAGCAGTTTCTACCTTTGTGTCTGTTAAGTGCTTGCCAGGTGTTAACCAAAAAAGTTCCATGCGAATTTCATCACGTCCAGTCATTCGGATCCAACAAAAAAAAAACCTTCATTAGCCCAATTGGTGTAGAAAAGTGGGAGAGAGAGAGAGAAATGGGGTATTGGAGTTTAACATCCACTCGACACAAACGCGTAGGGGTCTTTAGCAGTGGGAGGAAACCGGAGGACCCAGAGAAAACACACGAGGTTGGATAGGCGACTCTACTCCTTGTCACGTACAACCAGGGAATCAAAACCACGCCAGTTGACTCAATGACAGACTTTATCGCGCACGTGCTAACCATTCAGCCATCCAACCCCTTTAAGAAAAGTAGGACATTAAACCCCATTTTATTTGATTTGCTAACACATGTTCTGATGTAAAACAGAGTAATTGGGTTGATAAACTGTAACAATTCTATCATACTATGAGTGTGCTGGTTTAGATGTATCAGTTTTATGTTTGTTTAGTTTTAATGTGTTGTGAGGTGATTTTTTGTACAGTCTATAGCGATATTCACATTTATAATTTATTACTGCTATTAATACAACAGTATTATTCTGTATTCTTTGTAAGATTTATTCTACAACTGAATATGATTATAAACTAAAACCACAATAAATTTGTTGTAAAATTTGATGCCTGACAGGAAAATAATTAATATGATATATAAATGTTGATTTATTTTAGGAAAGTTTAAAGGAACCAGTTTTAAATGCAACATATCCACCATTAATAACAGAAAGTGCGAATTTTACTCATTTTGGTTCTCAAAAAACAGCAGGTAAGTTTAATGTTCTAACTCTAGTTTATAGGATAATACAATCTGCCAAACATACTGAAATTTAAAACCCAACAATTTCAGAAACTCTCTGCTTTAAACATACATTATGCAAGAGCTAAATCTGCCTATTTCAGGTCTTTCTTTAGGCCTGAAATCTTATCTAAATTATTAATTAGACATTAATTAACCTATCCCGACCATAATCAACTCTAGATGGCAGCGCTAGCCTGCGATCTTTAGTGGATTGTAAGCCGATTTACTGCATAACTTTCCTTCTCAATTAAACGATTAAATGGATAATCAAGACTATGCTGTTTATCGTACTGACTTTAGTAATGATGACCGAGGCTTATGGGAATTTCAGTTGCTTAGTTCTCGGTTCATAGTGGATCAATTTGAATGAAATTTTCACCAAATTGCCTTTACATTATCTAGTTTTTAACTATTATAATGATAACTGCCAACTCGTTAACGAATCTCCCATAATGTATCTTTAATAGATTGAGTCATCTAACATTGCTCTGATTCTAAGTTGTTCATTATTATTCAGAAGGAAATGAAATGGGGTTTATTTAATGTTCCTACTTTCCTGCACCAACTGGGATAATGAAGGTGGACATAAGCCATGCAGTGGGTTATGGGGGTAATTTTGCCATGGTAGTGGCATTTCTGTTTACTCTGCATTAGTACATGGGACCTTGTTTTACGTACCATCCAAACAACTAGACACTTTACCTTGCCAAACCCCCTGTCCTGTCCTACTGACAAAGGGTAAACCCGGCTGAAAAAGCCAGAGGAACTTTTTCAGCCAACACCGGGATCAATTCTCGAACCTCTAAGCCACCAATTCAAAAGGATTTAAAACTGTATTCACAATTTAAACTAGATTAAAGATTTTAAAAATTATGCAAAGAGACAGAAATTTTGTCAAACAGTATAATAAGGTTGCTAATGTTTAGATTCATTTACAGTGACATCTTTATCAGCTGAAAATATAGATCAAGCGCAGGATGTTTTAACTGATGATAGTTTATCTGCTAGTGTATCATTACCTAATCTAGCTACACCAGGTAATTTTATTTTTAAAAACATAATCTATATCTATTGAAATAAGCATTTACATGTAGATCTATCAACCTTATGGTTAGATCTGTTTGATTCTGGGTCAAGAATAAAATTTTCAATTTTATTGGATTTTATGTTTTTATTTGTTTTGTGGAATGACGATCTGCCTTTGCAAAAAATTGGTTTGTCTGTACATATATATATAAAACCAGTGTTGCACACTGATCAGCCGTGAATTTTCGCTAGGCCGCTACAATCACTGATAAGGATGACATTGATGTGACTTATTGAGCCAGAAATATTAACTTTTTTCCTCAGACAAATTAAATTCTAAAACATTTTTTTCTTATGTATTAGAAAAATAAATAAAGCATTTGGCGTATTTGTAGGTAAAAATTATTTCCTATTTAGTGTAAATGGGTATTAAAATGAGTAAAAGACGCCATTCTACCCGAACTAGAACGTCTTATGTAAACAATGCACGTGCCATTGAGCCGATGGTTGACGCCGCGTGATGAGACGTCACGTAGGTAGTAATCTTTTACAGAGATATTAGAAGACTTTCATAATCCTCTGTGAAACAGATTGCCAGTGTTGAGATGTGACCAATTTTGTGTTCTACTGTTGACACAGTAAATCCAAACTACAATTAGTAGACAAGTTAACTTGCATTTAAATGTTCTGAAATTAAAATTGAATCGTATTGAATTTGTCTCATCACTAATTAATAAAGGACTTAATGCAAACTTCAATTTGACTGAAATCAGAGAGTTTTAGTTAGTTTAAAGTGGCAATTATCAAAATTTATGTTTACATTACTTTCTTCTCAGTGCCATCTTTATTAGCTTAAAATTATCCATCAAGCTGAGGATGGTAACCTAGGTTACTACCTAAAAAAACACTTTTCATCCGTTATTTTTGTTTGATAAAAAAACATGGTTATTGTGGCTTTAAATAAATTCTTGTCTTTTTTTAGTAATAACAGAAAATTTACAAGATGGTGAGGCTCGTTTACTACATGAAATAGTAGAATCGCCGCCTGCTACTTCTTATTCTAGTAGTGAAGATGATGAATTCTATGATGCTGAGGATCAAAAAACCTCCTCAAAATCTACGCCAGAGTAAGAAAAATTACATTAGTTTGATTGATTTGAAAATGCTGCAGATGGATAGTTTGTGAGTGACAAATCATTTTACAAATCGTTTCCCAATGTCAGTGGTGCAGGATGGAAGACGTGGTACGAAAACAAGTCGAGTCGTTCGGATGTGACAAAAAACTAAGGTCACGTGTGCATGTTGTCGGTGTGTAAAAGAACCCTTGGTAGTTGAAATTTGATGAAGAGCAGCAGTAATGCTGCTGCCCATGCAAATTCCCCTCATACTATAGCACATGAATAGTGTCCTTCTTTAGACCGGTTTGTGCAGAAAAGTAGGACTTAATACCTCATTTCCTTTCTTTTTACAAATCTACTGTAAGATAAGAAATGAATAGGAACAGATGTGACCTATCACCACATCCCAAACTTAGGCTGCCTGTCTACAGCTAGCTCCGTCTGAGAACAGGCCCTAAGCTAATTAACCAACATTTTAATTCCTACATCGACGATTTTAGTCGAAAACACTGAGTATGCTTTTAGTAATTTTTAGAAGTATTTATTTCTCTTCTATTGTCATATTGAATGAAATTAAATATGTTTATTTAGCCGCTGTGTGTATGAAAGATGTCAAACTAATCAAAGCCGAATCACAAAATAGTCCTCTAATTATTCAATATGGCCGCGCCCATAAAAGATAAATTCACAGAGGCGGTTTTGTTTGCGAAGACAAATTTAGGAGTATCTAACCTTGTTTTGAAAGATAAACAGATTGAAACTCTAAAGACAGTTTACAATGGCAAAGAATGTATTGCAATATTACCCACTAGCACATATTATATATCGCTTTTACCGGAGTGGCAGAAGTTGACATTTTGCCAATGACATGTGTTTACATAAAACACGTGCTTGGTCGAGTTATTTTTACTCTGTTGTGTACACAAAGCAGTAGTCCAGTCGATAAGTCCCGCCCCAAAATGATCATGAGAGCATTTTAAATTGCAGGCAATAGGGCAGTGATCATAATCTCGAAGTATGACATAGATACGGATCGCTGCGTGCAGGTTGCTATCACCAGTCACATTAATTTGTATTCTGTAAAACAACAAAATATAAAAAACAATAAAATAATCAACATTTGTTAATTAGATGGCAGTCTAATAATTGCTTTAATTTCATAGATGGTCACATTAATTTCGATGATACAATTCTGTTAAGCCTTGTGAGAAATTTGGTGCGGCATTCATTTTTTTTTGTGTTATACTTATAGTATAATATTATTATGAAGTTCTACCCAAGAATCTTTCAAATTATTCAAACTCTGCAAATTTTATCCAATTATTCTAACTGCCAATTTTATCAAATTATTCAAACTCTGCCAATGTTTTTCGTAAATATTACAATTCTGATGGTACTAATACTATGTTGCTTGTTAAAATTCTTTGAATCACAGTGTAGCACTGGTTCACAAATTTGATACATTTCTTGTGATGTCATAGACAGTTTACTATGCCTGTGATGTCACAATGCAGTTAATCAATTGATGAATAAAAAATTATTATGGCCGAGAAAAAAAGGAAATTTTCTACGAAAATACCAAGACTATTAAGAGCAGTAGTTCCTAAAAGGTGAGCAGTATGAGAATATGAATATTGTATATCTAGATATATTATATCATATGAGTTAAAACATATTAAAAACATGACTTATTTGTTATTACAGACATGAATTAAGAAGTAGTGATAATGTAAGTGAAATTGATACCACATCACCACCAGTTATAACATCACAAGATGATGTATATGATGGTAAATCTTTTTCTTTTTCACTTTTAATGGTAAATTGAGACTTTTCATTTTGTCGCCAGAAATGAAGAGTGGGCATTATTTGTCACGGGTAATGCACTTTGGTGTACACGTAAAAGAACATTGGTCAGTTGGAGTTCGGTGACGAGTTGGCGGAAACACCACTGTCTCTGCAAATTTCTATCCTCCCTAGCATTGCACACAGACGATTGAAATAAATAAGCTAAGTAGTGCCTGCAGGACTGACAAAGTGTTGTCTAGTTGTTTGGATGACCCGTTAAGAATAGGTGGAATCTCCAATGTCTGTGTGAATTTCTTTCCTCCCTAGCATTGCGTATGTTACCACTGAAAAAATAACCTAAGTATTCTATTGACAAAATGTTAATTTCCATTCTTATCGTTTTTGTTTTGTCCTAGAAAAAGATGGAATTTCTGAAACCGTTATTATTAACTTGTTATATTTATTTTCTAGAGTTATATGATGAAGTTGATAAAGAAGATTGTAAGTCAAGTTTATTTTAATACATTTTCTCACATAAATAATAGAATTTTTAGGCTTTCATATTTTATTTATCCTGTTTGTTTTGATAGGAATTTAATTTCAAATAGCTTTTGAAGTTTACATTTTGAAACCACTTGATCTTTATATTTAACTTTTGTAGTGGGTTCATTAGAACAACATGGTAGTATAGTGGCTCATCTTTTATCACAAGTTAGAATTGGTATGGATTTAACTAAAGTTGTCTTACCAACCTTCATCTTAGAACGCAGATCTTTACTAGAAATGTTTGCTGATTTTTTTGCACATCCAGATTTATTTTTAAAGTAAGTTTGTCATAGATATAGATTTTATACCCCAACAAAATTATTATGATAGTTCATTGTGTTTAGCGCTGATGATCCATCTTTTGGTTATATTTTATAGACCAATAACAGTCTGACATCGTGGTTTGACTCGGTACTTGGATTGGTTTGGTTCCTTGTACATGAACTCTAGTGACAAAGCATCAGTTCCATTTGTATTTGGTTCCTTACAGACCCAATATTGATAATCTGGTGTCCTGGTTTGACTTGGTGCTTGTATTGGTTTGGTTCCTTGTACATGAACTTGAATGAGAAAGTATCAGTTACATATATGTATTTAGTTCCATGTTTTCATGGGGAACCAATTTAATAACAACAAATCGATATTGAATTTATCATGTTGCCCCCTTTTTATTTTGACTATATTTATGAAACACTATAACACTATGTTTGTTGAGAGGTCTTCAACAAACAACTGTTCATTAGTACAAATCTATGATTTCAGTTTTAAGTACAGGTACTTTGCTGTATAGAATACTGTATTGTAAAATACTTATGCCTATCATGTCATGGCTAAGATTGCTATTTTGTAACCCCAAAAAGTAGTGAATGTAAATCAAGTACTGAGTGAAACAGTGACACCAGAAACCAGTTTTCGGATGAATTTTATTGGAAATGAAACTTTCATTAAACTCTCCATGTTACCATGGAAAATATTTACCATCTTTCACAACATTCAAGGTGTCTTACTAAATATATTTCCATTGACATCATATATCTGAAAAAATCTCTTAGAAAAAGTCGGCATTTTTGATAATCATTTGATTATTTTGTTATGTTTTGTAGAGTTGTAGAATTTGATAGTCCTAGAGAAAGAATGATACAGATGGTTAGATGGTATTTATCAGCATTTCATGCTGGTCGACCTAGTGAAGTAGCCAAAAAACCATATAATCCTATTTTAGGAGAAACATTTTTATGTGAGTGGAGAATGCCAGATGAAGATTATAGTAAAAGTGTAAGTCTGTTTTTATTGCTGAAGTAACTTAGTTGCATAAGTAAAACATCCGTAATAACACCAGAATCGTTAGTCTGTTTCACCTTAAATATTGCACTTAATACAAAATAAACAGTGCCATTAAATTTCTGTTGTTAAAATTTGTAAGATTAGTTTTGTATATATAGCAAACAAACTTTCTCATTGTAAAAAATATGGCAATCATTGTTTCAATAATGAGTTATTTTACATCCACAGAAATAGGGTTAATATGATCATGTATTTATTTATTCTTCAGGGAAAAGTAGAAAATGGTCCAGTTTCATGGGCAACTAAAGATAATTTATCATTTATAGCAGAACAAGTTTCACATCACCCTCCAAGTATGAAACTTTCTTTTGTATATAGAATATATTGTTAAAGTGTTAGATACACAATACCTTTGTTAAATCAGCAACTCAATTGGTTCAATTTCTGGTCCACTTAATTCTTCTGGTTAATACACATTAATATTATATTCTTTCATGTGATGGCAAATTGTATCAGTTACTATTTCTTTGTTCCTTCTACAATACATGTACATATATTCATGTAATTAAACACAAACTATATTATAATTACAAATGGTATTGATTACTATTTCTATTTTAATTAGATAAAAACCTTGTAATTACAAATGGTATATATATTCTATTTACTATTTTTTTAATTGGACAAAAACTGTTGTAAGCAGTATTCAATTTATACTCAAAATAACCACACTCTTACCGTTTTTCTTTCAGTTTCGGCTTTTTATGCTGAACATTTTAACAAGAGAATAACATTAGATGGTTATATTTGGACTAAATCCAAGTTTTTAGGTTTATCTATTGGTGTACATATGATAGGTCAGGCTGTTGTGTCGTTATTAGATTTTGATGAACATTATACCATAACATTTCCTAATGGTTATGGCAGGTAAGACATGTATAAATTCTCATACCAGTAGGAGACACAATTAACACAAAATTGCACATACATGTATTAACAAAATAAAATGAAAGAAACTATGTTTTATAAAAGACTTTATACAAAACGAGAGAACAATCATTTAAGTTCACCCAGCTGTACATATAAGGCTGTACAAAAAAAAAAGTATTCTGATTCCCAGATACTCCTACGTCACTTAAAAAGGGCTGCATGGCCTGTTTTTATTTCAACAAATAAAAAATAAAAACAATCTGATGTAAATAGTTTCCCAGTCACAGGAAGTAACCCTGATAAATGTTACTGGCAATCATGAATGATATTAGATAATCATAGGTTCCTATAGACGATACTCTTGTTTCGATTTCCATCTGACAAGGACTCGGTTTTTCGTCCCATCTAAACGATTAGACATTATTCTTTGCCAGATCCTGTGTTTTGTGCGAATCAATAGAAAGTAATGAGAACTTTAGATATCCATTACTTCAGTTATGATTGGTCTGTTTGAATTATATTTAAACCAATATAAGACAGGTTTTTATTGTGTATGGTATGAAGATCTGCCTTTTAGTCAGGAGTATTATTATTATGATATATAGCAGTACGTTTAATATGTGATTATTTAATTTATTATATTATAGATCTATATTAACAGTACCATGGGTTGAACTAGGTAGTAAAGTTCATATAACATGTGCTAAAACTGGTTATAATGCTACCATAGATTTTCTTACAAAGGTAATAACTTAAATTTAATGATTTCAAACAGGGAAACTGTTCTCAAATGTTTTAAGTTTTGGATATTATATAGCATCATGTATGAGTCTCTGAAACATTCACACTATAGTCTGAAATAATTTGACAATAGGTAAAAATACCCCATTGAGTTCATTTCCAGAAATAAATTTCTATTCAGCACTTAAAACAGTAATGGAGCCTTAGTATATAAATAATCATTTGATGTATTTTTGACAGTTGAAATATTAAACATACATTATGCAAGGGCTAAATCTGCCTATTGCAGGCCTAATATGCAGGCCTTTCTTTAGGCCTGAAATGTTATCTAAATTAGTAATTAGACATTATCTAACTTATCCAGACCATAATCAACTCTCGATGACATCGCTAGGCTGCGATGTTTATTGGATTAGGTTCCGATTTGCTGTTCGACTTCATTCATAATTAAATCATGAAATGGATAATCAAGACTATGTTTTTTATCCTACCGACTTTAGGAAATTCAATCGCAAAAATCTCAGTTCATTGTGGATCATTTTGACTGAAATTTTCAGCAAATTCCCTTTACAGTATCTAGTTTTTACCAATTTAGTGAGAACTGCCAGCTCTTTATCTAATCTCCCATAATGTATCTTTAACTAATAAATCCGACCAATATTGATTAGTTGTAACATTTTAAAAAGCTTATATATGATTTTACCACATTGTAGGATTATGTCTTCTTTTTTACAGCCATTTTATGGTGGAAAGAAACATCAAATAAGCGGTCAGATAAATGATCCTAATGAGAAGAAACCTATAGTTACCATACAGGGAGAATGGAATGGTGTTATGTATGCTAAATTTGATACAGGGGTACGTTATTGAATTATTATAAATAACAATTGTCCACTGGTAGTTATTCTTGTGGTATTTTTCTGTAGGGGCGGTGTCCTGGACCCCAGCTAAATTAACACACTGAAGCCATCAAATTTGACATTAAGTTGTAATTTTGAAGCATCATAATATACACAAAAAAGAATTTTGAACTATACATTGAGCCATATATACAATTTAGTATTGTTTTATTACCTAAGTGTATATTATTTTTTGTTTTTATATTTAGCACAGTGAAACATTTGTAGATACCAAAAACCTTCCTATTATTAAAAAACGTGTTCAACCTCGTGAGCAACAAGATGAGTTTGAATCGAGAAGGTAAGATTTAGTTTTTACTAGATTTAGATCATTGAAATTAAATGATATCATTCATTTATTGTCAGATAAATGGTATTTTGCTCTTTGCGAATTGTCGACTAACTGGGGATTTGCCCGATTTGAGATGTTAACTGAATTTCTGTTTTAATATACAATACAAATAATTATTATCAGGTTATGGCAGGATGTGACTCATCATTTAAAGATGAAGAATGTTGTAGAAGCTACTGAAAGTAAACATAAATTAGAACAACGGCAGAGAGAAGAAGCTAAAGAAAGAAAAGAAGCAGGAGTTAAATGGGAAACTAAGGTAGGAATACTTGAAGTATTGGAACCAAAGAAATCACATTTTGAGGGGCATTTCTGAAACAAAAACATTACAATTTTAAATTAAAAATGAGAATTTGGCATAAGAAGAGAATATTATCAAATATAGATATAAATTATTGTCATATATGTTTTAAAAATGAGTAGATTAGGGTACTACTGATATGTTTAAATGTTGGGTGTTTGTAGTACCGTTAAGGATCTTAGTGCGGTCCTTGATTCATGTCTTACCTTAGCGATTCCGGTTACTTCCAGTTGCGACTTATTAGCGGTATTAGAAACAATTTACCACAAAATATTTGTGACAGCAAAACTCTTACAAGTTTTAAATCCGAAATAAAAACTCATTTGTTCAATCTTATGTTGGCTAAATTTTTGAACAGACATGTATAGTTTATTGTTCTTAAAAGCACCTTGAGGTGGGTTGGATGGCTGAATGGTTAGCACATGCATGCTGTATCATAAGGCCTGTCATTGAGTCAACTGGCGTGGTTGCGAATCCCTGGTTGTACGTGACAAGGAGTAGGGTCGTCTGTCCAACCTCGTGGGTTTTCTCCGGGTCCTCCGGTTTCCTCCCACTGCTAAAAGACCCCTACGCACAAGCGAATTATTGAAATAAAATTAAACCATGTTAGTCCCGAAATGACCTAGTTTGTGTCGAGTGGACATTAAACCCCATTTCTATCCCTCTCTTTAAAAGCACCTTGAGCATGCTTATGGATGGATTTTGCGCTAAAGTAATGGACATTATTATTAAGGGAGATAACTGGATAGAAAGACATTGACAATCATATTTGCCGTACATTTTATGCAAGTTTTCCAGGAATAACCTCAACTTTTTTTTTATTTAATTGAAGTATTATGTTAGTTTTTCACAATAATGAAGTAGTATTTAATTAGTATTGGGTAACTCAACCTGTTTCAAATTAACATAAAAGTTCACAATCTGTAGCAATCCGTAGTATGTGATGACAATTTAGTAGCAGATTTTATGAGAGAAATCTTGTTTTTTTTAATCTTTTATTTTGTTCTTTTACAGCATTTTCATGAAGTGGGTGAACATTGGGTATATGACAGATCGTTATTACAGAGAATGAATTTATCAGCTAACTCATCACCTCAAGCACAGTCTTAACATCTACTCTAAATATATACATTTTAATCTTAACAGTCTTAATTATAGAATGAAATAATCTACATTATTAACCACAACCATCGCATTTACATTTACACGCTCAACATTCATCTTCTCTTTACATATGATTATAAAATCATCTAAAAAATTCTTCATCAATGTTATAAGTTGATTATTTGGTGCAATGTAATTTGATTAGTTTGAAAATAAATATGTGCAATTTCGGTTTATGTAGATAGGGTGTGAGAGGGACAGTGATTGAAATGTCATAACAATAGTATAATATTTTGACTATAAGTGGGTGCTCGATTGTCAGTCTAGATCAGACCTCAAACAAGAATGTGCCAGCAGAATCATAACAAACATTTCAGCTATGGTGATGGGTCGTGATAGTGTCATATTCAGTTTGTGTATGCCTTGTGGTCGGAGACTCCTCTTGTGTTTAACATTCGATTGACACCATTTATAGGACTGAGAGAATTCAATTTTGAAATTAGAAATGAAATGAAATAGGGTTTAATGTCCTACTGTGCTGCTCCGAACTAGGCTATTAAAGACGGGCATACGCCATACAGTGTGGTATGAGGGAAATTTTGCCCAGACAGCAGACCTAAGGCCTACTCTTATATCGAATTCGAAATGTCAAGGGGTCTTTTACGTGTACATGGGACCTCTGTTATTCGTCATTCCCAAGGTTACATATGAGGTAGTAAAATGGTAGGCCAATAATATGTCGGTTATATAGAGGTAGTGAAAGAGAGTGATTGAAATGTTACAACATTGGTGACTATATGTTATATGAGGTAGTGAAAGAGAGTGATTATGGTGACTATATGCTATGTATGAGGTAGTGAAAGAGAGATTGAAATGGTGACTATAGGCTATATGAGGTAGTGAAAGAGTTTGATTAAAATCATACTATATAACTGGTGTTTTGTTTATTAAATTGTATTTTTTAAAAATTATAAAAGTAAACAGATTGAATACGAAACAATATTTATCCTCACTTATTCAAAATATATGGCCATATCATTTAGTATTTGTATTTTTTTTGGTAATAATTTTTATTTGTAGTTGTGTTTTAAAAAGTGTTTCTTGGTATAAATAAATATTCTCTCTGATAATAATTGTTACTGCCCTTAAATATTATGAACATATATTGCGTTCGAGTTCTGTACTAAAAATATCATAGATTCTTTGCAAATTCCAGGGTTTACTGATTGAACCCATAGGTTGTAGTATACAGAGTTCACAATTTTCAATGCCTGTACAAAATGTAAGTGTTTCAACGCTGGGAGTATTAAACCTTATTTACATCTTGTAAATGTAATTATGACCATTAACATCCGTGAACCACAGGTTGTAATCAGCTGTGAAAGATGTTTTATTTATACCAAGAGCTATTATATACATAACTTGGTGTATTTTTACTATGAATAAAGAGAGAGAAATGATTTTAGTTTTTACATATTGTATTTGTTATATAGAGAAGAATGCCAGTGATCTGTTATTATTTATATAAATCTATAAATCATTGTTACTTATATTTAACATTTGTTGATTATTCTAGGCTATATATTGTTTATTATAATAATACATCAAACATTGCTATATATTTTGTAAATATAAAAACAATAAATTATTATTTTATATTTAAAATTTTGTGATTTTTCTTTTCTTAAAATTTACGAAGTATCTGTGCAAAAATAAAAGCGCATTGTATTCTAATTATTAGATTGTTTAGACCAGAAAAAAATTATCAGACTGACAGAAATTTTTTGTTTTTGTGTAGTCATTGAGAATAGAGACAGCCACATTAGTTTGGTGCATTTATACAGGTGTTCTAAGCATTTCCAACACCACCTGCATCCAGAATAGGTAGAGGCAAACATATGCCTACAACTTTGGAAGTTGGGGCTCAGTCTAACTAAGATCTTTTGTGGGGCAACCTCCCAGCCATTACTACCACCCCTTTCACAAATCCATGAACTCTTGCGTTGAGAGTTCCAAATGATTTATATTTTGAGTTGATGATGGCAATAATAACTTTATTTAACCCTCGGTGTCACTGATTTGTTTTGAAACCCATGAACAACTCACAAAAAAAGACCAAAGTTCTAATAAATTTTATTTTCAAAGCTTCTTATGTTGTGAAATACAAATGTGAAACAAATGTGTTTAGTATATAACAAATAACTGAAAATATCTACTAACAACTTTTCATATAAGAATTCACTCCATACAATAATTGTTTTTCTTTATATATTTATATATATAATAATGATATAATGACTTCAGCAGCTAGCAGTGAACAAACATGTGAATAAAATAACAAATATTTCACCAATGAGAAATAAAGTCTCATTAAAACACAGACCTTTTTATGATTTCATACTTTCATTTTTTTCTCGTAACATAAATATTTGGCTAAGAAAAAAGGAACAAATTAGGTAAGATCTGTATTCTAATTAGCTTGGAAAGTAAAGAGAATATGAAGAAATGTAGCAAGTATTATTTGGTAATAAAGGAATAATTTTTTAATAAATCACAACCTATAATGGGTTTAGGTTTATAGTAACATGGTATTGCAATATTCATCACAAGCAATTGTCTTTTATTTCTACATAATCAGAAGGCTGTCACTTACATGTAATTATTCAGTCCTATTTTCAAACACTATATTACCACATGAAATGAAAATTTACTTGATAACCATTCTTGCAGGCATTAAGAAATAATGCCAAATTGTCTTTTAAAATTATGCAAATTTTCAAAATATTATTTTTATTGTTTTTGTATATTAATTTCATTTAAGACCTATGTTATTGTACTTTTATTACTTTAATATAGAATAAATAATAGTAAAATAAAAAGTATAAAACAAATATCATTAATGTAATGTATCACATAACTTTTAGTAAAAGTAATGAATATAATAACAGTTCATGGAATGAACAAAAAGTCATTTCAATTCAGGAAAGGGTGCAATCAAAAAAAAAACATTACAAAATTTAGATAAAAGTTTGGAGTCCATACAAATGGGGAATAAAGTCAAATATGTATAGATTTACCCAAAAATAATACCAAATTATGAATCGACTTTTTTTTGATAAAGAATAGGCCAAACATATATATATATATATATATACGTTTTATATGCTGAACATGCTGTTTTGTTTACATGATAGACTTATTCACTCACATGACTTACAGATGTAATACAAATGTATGTTGATAAATTTGTCATTGATAATTTTATTTAAAATTCCATAAGTAACAGAAAATGTAAGAGACCTTTAAATGTAAAAGTGCTAATGTTATTTAATTTGATAATCTAAAATATGAAATAAGATAATATAACTTGTATATATACAGATATCTATATTGAAATATTAGAGGGACAACAAAAACAGGTAGTCCATAAACCATATGCTGGCTTATATTCAATCTAATAAAAATTGGATTACCACTTTGCTTCATTTATTTTTCAGAAATTTATATTATATCAGATTGGCTTTTATAGAAAATATTTCATAATTAATATTTTATTTATGAGATGGTAATATGAAATCAATAGAAACTAATGTAAACTTTAAATGACCATAACAATGGACCACTGTTCTGCTTTATGATTAGGTATGGTCTCAGATTCGATATCCAATTATCATTCTAATATGTTGTCCCTTTAGTTATAACTATTGACTAGATAAAATCTAATATTTTAGTAAAACCTGAAGTATTAAAACATTAATATGTCATCAACTCTATTCACATATTATTTATCACTTTTTATATCAAGTATGGCCGTCACTTTTGATAAAAATAATGCTAAAAAAAAAGATCAACCAATTTTTTAACTGGTTATACAACTAGTGGAGAAAAACGGTAGTAATAAGAAGAATGTGCCATTAAAGTATTTAATATCAGGAATGTATTAATAAAAAAAAATAAAATGGAATGTTGTAAAAAGAAAAAAAAAATTTGTAAAAAAAAAAAGGAACTACTTTTGAAGCGTCTTCCTAGATAAGAATAAACAACTAAAATAAAATAATATAAAAATCATCAGCATTAACATTTGAGCATCATGATTTACAATATCTTAAAAAGCAAAGAAATGGGGTTGATTCAATATCATTTGATACAAAAATCTAAACCACATCTGATTTCATGAAAGAAATATATTAGAATTTTAAACATTCTGTTAGACTAGACTAGAGACAATTTTATTTTCAAAATTTTATGTTTCTTATTTAATCTCTTTTGATTTGAAACCAATTTGTTCTGTTGCCATATTCTATCGTCACAGTGTTATAGCCTAATCTTTCAAAAAAAAACAATCATTGATTGCTTCTTTACATAGATGATAGTAACAGAACACGTAGGATTGTTCCTTAGTTAATAACTTATTATAGGAATATTTAATAAGAAAACACACTGTATTAAAGCTAAATGTACATTCATCAAAACTTGTCTGGTATAAGAGTATTAATTTATCTATTACAGACACTGTGTTATATTTAAAGCATCAACTACAGAATAAAGTTTGACTAGTTAGAAATTTAAAACAATAGTCCGCTATTTGATGTGATGACAGCATAAAAAGTTTAGACAGCAAAGAAAATTGGCAGTTTACACATACAGTGTTGTGTTATATAATAAATGTACTATACTATATCTATTTTTTATTTTATAAACAAAATAATATATATATTTAACTTTAAGAACTACAAGTTACTCTAGGCTACACAATGTAGAAAACATGCCCATTGTACAATATACTAGATTTAAACATTATCACAATCCAATATATTTAATACATGGAAGCCACAATAACCTGTTTGTACTAGTATACACTATTTACATCCTATAACTTCATTTTATAATCAAAGAAAACTCATGACACCAGAACGGTTGTTATATCTAATCTTTCCACGGTGGGCTTAATCCACTCTAAAAAATACTCATATTGATTATTTAAATTTTTATTAAAAAAACAAAATCAAAATATAAACCATAGACAATCTCCCAGTTTGGATTCAATTGGATTAAAAAGATTTGAGGGAAAATTAAGTGCCGCTGGCCGCTTTTTACCATAATCAATACATGGTCTGCAGTGGATGCCAAATATTGACGAAATTTCAATTCCACATATCTTTGTAAACACTGATCGGAATTGAACCATTTTTGGACCAATATTTCCTTTAGAAATTCAACCTTCACAACCTTAAGTGATTAACAATCCTTCAAATGAGGATCAGAGAATCTAACAAATGTTTAATTTGTTTACATATTTCAATACATGTAGTTCGTTCTAAAATAATAATGCCACACATTGTGTTGTTAGAGATGTTCAAATCAAGATAAACCTATTATTAAAACTATTTCCATGATTTGAACTTGTATTTGATTAAAAAGGACATGATTTTTAATTCAAAATGATCTTTTAATTTTCTGTTTTGATTTCATATAAAATAGTATGGTAAAATCCATAGTGTGACCTAAACAGTTTCAAAAAAAGAGAAGAGTCTAACAAAACTATAGACCTTATGATAGTTCAAAAAAATAAAATAAAACACACAAAAATAAATGTTCACAATTTCACAACTGTTTATCTGAGGACACATTAAAGACACATTCTGTAACAGCACATAATTTACATCGACAACTTACTTTCTCAAGTTATATCACCACACAAGTTCATTCTTGTTAGCACAAACAAGTTAATTCTTGTTAGCACACACAAGTTTATTTTTGTTAGCACACAAAAGTTCATTCTTGTTAGCACACACAAAATCAAAATCTGTTTCCTTCTTTTGTCCCTTTCTTATAGTTTTATTTCCTTATTCATTCTTGCTTTTTGTAACATTTCTCTGAAATTTCCTTTTGTTTTACATAAAACTCTTTCCATCCAGCTAATACTCTATTAGATCTTTTCTCACGAGTGTTAAATTGAGACAATAGTGAAATGTTTATAATCATTATAAGAAACAACTATCATTGACTATCAATATATTCCATCACAGCCTGGTAACAAAACTGAAATTGTTCCTAAAAAAAAAAAAACAAGAAAGAATTTAATTGCAAAAATTAACAAAATAATTGTGAGAAATATGTTTATATTAGTTATATGATTATAATAAAAACAAAATTTGTCTTTAATTTTCCTTCTATCAAACTTGTCAAATGACTTTATTAACTAACATTTTCAGTAAATAATTCTTTTGTTTTCTATAATTAGCCTCCCAAAAACACTTTGCTGGGGAGAAATACAACAAAACATAATACATTAAATGGGCAGGGCAAGATTAGATAAAGATCTGACAGTTCTTGCTATAATAGCTAAAAAATAGATAATGGAAACAGAATATGCTGAAAATATCAGTCAAATTGCTTCTCTCTAAACTGAAATATTAGCGATTCAATTTTAGGCTAGCCTCGATCATCATTACTAATGTTGGTACAATAATAAACAAAGTCTTGATTATTCATTTTTACATTAAATTATCCATCACAAAATGTATTCAAATCCACTAAATATCGCAGGCTAATGATGGCATGGATAGTTGATTATGGTCTGGATACATGTAAGTTAATTAATGTCTAATTAATAATTCAGATAACATTTCAGACCTAAAGAAAGACCTGCAATTGGCAGATTTACCTCTTGAATGATGTATGTTTAATATATTTATTACAAAACAACTTACAATATTTTCAATGAACTGTGGTCTGTTCATTCGGATCTGTTTCATAGACTGGTAAACATCGACTTCATGATCGATATCCAGTCTTTCTAATATAATACAAATAGCACTAAATAACCCACTCTTGCTTGCACCATTCCTGAAATGAAGACAGTGACAACCTTATCATTATCCTCCTTCCTTTTATATCAAATTCACACATGTATGAAAAGGCTAATTAAGATGGTGTGTTATGAGGGCAATTTTGTCCCGATAGCGATGCTACAGCCTACTCTTAATTTCGATTTCCAACAGTAATAGGTTCTTAATAATAACATATAATACAGTACTGATATATTTTGCCCCATCCGAACTACTAAACATTTTTCCTTGAGGGACCACTGAAAGGGGGAATTCAGACTAAAACATCCTTAGGAACTTTCCCGAACCCATGACATCATGTGATAGCTAAAACCTTAACCTGTAATTTTTTTTATTATATTGGATTGATATTTTTGTAGGATACAAGGATACAGACAACAGACGAGGAATTAAAAGTAACTTACATGCAGTGTATTGTTACTGGTCCTTTACCATTTTGCTTAAGAGATTCTGTGACTAGTTTATGTAATCGTAATAAACTGGTAGTTGAATTCGGTGTTGTTTGATAATCAGGCCAAGATTTAAATAAAAACTGTTTAACTGCCCGTTCTTCACCCTATAAAATATCATATGTTTATTAACTTTTGTAGAATAATTTTAAATATAACAGTGAGGCTGATGTCCATTGCCTCAATCTCAAAATAAATAGATGTCTCTCATTAATCAATTGCACATATGTATCTTTTTATGAAGCATCAAGCAATACACCGGTTTTTCACTCTGTTTAACCGGAGCAGAAAATGTGAATTATCGAATTCAGTCAAGGGGAGCACAGTTTTATCACTCTCATGCGATAACAATCAAAATCACTGTTTTCTAAAGTCTTTACCCATCAGATGGCTCTTTATGATCATGTACACCAAGTTTGATCATTTTACCTCAATTAGAAGCAGAGTTAATGTATTCCAAAGGCTTGACCAATAAAATTGCTTATCACTATTCAGCCTCAACAGAAAATGCACATCATTGAAATTAGTCAAGGTACTGGTGTAATGGAACTATACACAAAGTTTCATCACTCTCAATGAATTAGAATCAAAGGTTAATGTGTTAAAAAGCCTCAACTAATTAAATGGCTTATCTCTGTTTAGTCAAATCAGATAATGACCATCATCAAACTTAGTCAAGATATTTACCTAATTAACATCTACACAAGGTTTGAACATTAGAAGCAAAAAGTGAGATAATGCTTACAGTAGCTAAGTCTCAACATTGAAAACACGATTTATTTACAAATTAATAAATCAACATTCATGTTGTGATCTTACCGGAAAAAGATGGGCTTTTGATATCCAATATTTAAGACAAAATAAACATTTTACCATTGTATCAAGAGACTCGAGGGACGAGGCTAGACACATTGCACCAAATCAAACGGCGTATGTAGACTGGAATAACCAGACGCTAGAAATTTGCACTCGCTTGAGACTGCTGGCTTATTTCGCCGAACATAACTGATTTTGAAATTTGAGTAAAAACGGAAACCATTGAATGTAAATCAGTTTATATACATTCATATTACAGTATTATATGCGTTGCGACACACTTTTGTTAATTTCTAGGTCCCAAATGTTAGCGATTTAGCTCCTTTAAATCAGACATTTAAATAGGCCAACTAATCAATTAAAACAAGATAATCTGCCCAAATCTCAATTTTCTATAACTCAAGACTCACCTTTCCTTTATGACTAAGTTGACAAAGGTGCATAGTAACATCAGGATCAACTTCTGATGATGATAATAGTTCAACACTTAACTGTCCATATTCCTCACTATAACCATATTCTACTGGCCAATATAAAGCACAGCTCTGAAAATATTAAACAAAAATATTTATACTTTGAAAGTGATGAAATAGAGTTATATAGATAGGTCAAAGAATTTTTACATGTGGTAAACAAAATCAGAGAGAAAAACAGAGGAAGAACAGAGCAATCACATCACAATTAATTATTGTGACTGATAATTACTATGTAGAATTAAAACATAATTATTGTGATTAAATTGGTAGAATAATTAACAGAATTATTATGACACAATTATTGTATAATAAATTAGTAGGATTAATAACACAATTATGTTACAAAACCATTGTTAAATACAATACTTGTGAGTAATCATGCCATTTGTATAGTTAATGTTCAGTGTTATATACACTAAACACTATTTATGGATAACAATTATTGGTTTATTAACAAGCAACGTTTCGACGATGATACTCTCATCTTTATCAAGAGTATCATCGTCGAAACGTTACATGTTAATAAACCAGTAATTGTTATCAATAAATAGTATTTAGTGTGTTACTGTTCAATTACTAAATGCCCCTTATAAAGAAGCAGTGTTATACACTCCACCATATTTTAGCACACAGGAGCATAAATAGTTAATGTCTAAGTCCCCAATGTGCTCAGCCATATATAATGTATAATCATACATGTCCACATACTGGTACATTTATTTTCAATATGAATAAAATACATATTTATTGACGAAGAAATTTCATGCATTAAATATTACTTTCTTTCTTTTTAATCCATCATATAAAATTTGAGATTTTATATTTCAAACAATGCAGTGTCAAGTTAGTATGTATTTCAATGGTATTGAACCGTAAGCCTATGCTTATGAGTATTGATCTACATGCCCATCATTAATAATACACCTTTTTCAGCAAATATTACAATGTTATATTGGGGTACTTTAGGGTGGTCTATTATTAATGTCATAACCATAACAAGTAATTTTAAACATATATTTCCCTCTGAATTAGAATCTCTAAATAATAACTCAAAATCAGTCAGATCTCTGTTTAATAATAGGGCCTACTTCTTTTCTTTACTGATAATTTACACGGAAATAAACAAGATTAAAATTTATTTTTTCTATTAATCTATACACTTATAAACGTCTTAATAAAAAAGAATAGGAGTGAGCTAAGAATCTAAGATATTACTTCTAACATCTGTTATAGAGCATGTGCATTCTGATCACTTAACAGTGATGATGAATGAAAGATCACTAAACTAATTCAGAATTCTATTACACTAATCTATTAATTCTTTATATGTGCTGATGAATCAAGGCAGATGAAAGAGATGCCTTCCTCACAGATCCATAATAAAATCACACAGATTATCATGCAGGTCCAACCAATAACCCACACCATGAAAGAAGATATTGTTTCACAACCAGATCATGTTATCTTAAATTTAGTCCCAAAATAACCTAGTTTGTGTCGAGTGGACGTTAAACCCCATTTCTCTTTCTCTCTCTGTTATCTTAAAAAAATCTCATGTATATAATCTTTGTGTCATGAAATTAAATACCAAATTTTGTTGAAATAATGAAAATCCCATAAGTAAAGAGAATGATGAGATCCCTCTACATAAGTTGCATACCAATAGTTATACTTGAGTGAAAGAATTGTACCCAGGCATATTATCAACCATGTAGATTATACAGATACATGTAATCAAAATAATAAATGGTTACCCTTTCAGTCTGAAATACAGAATTAATTTTATTAAAAGTTAGAATTCTACAGTTATTTGGGATTACATTTGACTAACTATTTAAATTAACCTTCCAAATTAATTTCAAGCCATCTGGGATTTTCTTCAATAAGTAGCATTATGGCTGTTTTTGATCAAACTGTCACATTATTCAACCAGCGGCTGCCAGGCAGGATACGCCCACATTTTCGAGAGATGGATAGAAAACAAGCTAAAACGAAAGTGATTTTTCCTACAATCAAGGGCCATAATTCAGGAAATTACAATTTGATATGCGCAAATATCGAAAGGAACCAAGATCTTTGAGTTATAAACTTACATTTCAAGTTTCAACAAAATCGGATAAAAATTGTGACCTCTATAGGGTCCACCACCTTGATATACCATATTTTTACGCAATTTGAGAACGAGGGGCGGCCATTTTGTCTGTCAGTTTTGGGCTGATTTTCACGAAATTCGAACTCAACTGTCCTTAGGGTGTAACGGTGATATATTAACACGGTTTTTTAAATCGGATAAAAATTATGACCTCTATAGGGTCCACATGCCAAAAAACACGTTTTTGCGTACAATCAGGGGCCATAATTCAGGAAGTTACGGTCCGATATGCGCGAATATCGAAAGGAACCGAGATCTTTGGGTTATAAACTTACATTTCAAGTTTCAACAAAATTGGATAAAAATTGTGACCTCTACAGTGTTCACAAGCCAAAAATGTGATTATTCGTACAATCAGGGGCCATAATCCATGAAGTTACGGTCCGATAGATGCCAATATCGAAAGGAACCGAGATCTTAGGGTGATAAACCTATATTTCAAGTTTCATTGAAATTGGATAAAAATTGTGACCTGTAGACTGTTCACAAACAATTGTGGATGGACGGACAGACGGATGGACAGGGGCGACGACAATATACGTCCACATGAAAATGTGGGCGAATAAAAAGTGCTTCTACTACTGGAAGCCATGTTATTTCCCCACTGTGCAGTCAATAACTACAGCAATGTATCATCAACCTTATATGCAGTCGAGAATTTCAAACTTTTATGTAACATAAAGACCTAGCGTGTATAACATTTTAAAGCAGTGAGTTTTCTTCCCTTCTACTCCAATGTACAGAATTACATAGCTTGCTTGGATGAGAAATAAAAGCTATTCAATGGTGTGATCAATGCTTCATGATAATCATTCTATAGCAATGCACAATGATGCTATCACTGTCAAATAACAAAATAATAATCCATGATGCATACATAATTTACATAATTACTCACCGAATCATTTCTTTCAAACTCATTTAACATGACGACTGTATCAGAATTATAGTCATACAACATTCTCCAAAAATCAGCTACTGTGTTCGGTAAGGGCATCTGTGTTATAATAAAATGATCCTTCTGAGTGTGACCCTAGAATACAATTGATAAATATATTAAAATCTGCGAATTAAAACGTTAAATAAATCAAATTAATTGATTTAATGTTAACTAAAATCATTATTTGCTCTGAGTTGGTTAATGTTTAGTTTGCAAATATACATAACATTAAATGCTAAATTTATCAAACAAATATCAAAATATGCGAAATTGATTATAACATTTTGCAACAGAAACTGAAGCCATGTTGATGCAAATAAAAAACAAAAAGTGGCAACTTAACAACATATATTTATTTAATAATTAAATTGTGCAGGATATGTAAAGGCGATATCTTAATCACTTCCACCCTCACATACATTCATCTAGATATTACATTTTTGTAATATTCTTTCTAGTAACAAAATAAGCCATAGTTGCAATATAAATATTATTTAACCCTTTAAACTCAACAATTAACTTTTGGTCCAAATTAATGTTGTTGTTTTGTTTGGTTTTTTTTTTTGGGGGGGGGGGGGGATTTTTCTCGATCATTTAAATTGTGCTTTAAAGGATATACAATATTATTTAAAACTTTAAACCTAAACAAGAAACTTAACACTTAAATTTTTGTCCAAACTAATGTTTCCTTTTTGGGGATCTTTCCTTTAATGATTTAAATTCTGCTTCAAAGGGTATATATAGAATTAATATCAATTAATATCAATATTGTTAAACATGACAGACATGTCCATATTTTACTTACTGGTAGGAAGACAGCGTTGATATAATCGTTACAGTCATCGACGGGCGTATACAGGAATGGACGACATCGATTAGCTAAAATAAACAGGGAGAAATCAGTGCCACCACGCAACAAAAAAACCACTAAAGCCATAAATAAAAAAAAATGCTCACTGAAACTACACAAATTTGGCCAATTCATTTGTTTCAAATTTGTATAACCATTTTTTGTCATTGTCCCATAATCATAATAATCTTTAACTGTCAATGTAATGTATGTGGCATTGGTAAATGTTCAGAACGTTTGACCTCAACTTATTGTTTGACCTCCATTTATTGTTTGACCTCAACTTATTGTGATGTTAATTTTGGGTGATAATTTCTGCAACATACACTTGTACCTTTCATTTCTAAAAATATAAGTTTAAAACCTGCACAAAAAATCTGTTGTTTCTTTTGAAAATCGCTAGTATTATCTTAAATTTCAATTAAGATCTGTTTCTGCAACATATATTTTTAATACATAAATATATAACTTTACAGGGTTTTTTTATTCAAAATTTAAAAGATAGGTTGCCAGGCAACGAAACATACGCCCACAACAGCTAAATTGTCCGGGCAGTCAACAAGAGTTGTTGCATATTTTTACTTTTTTCGTTAATGAAACATTTATAATACACTAAAATCTGATAAAGAGCAACAATTCATGAAGTAATTATCAGAAAACCATTAGAATTTGTTTGTTTTTATAAAGTTCTGCCCCATTCTAACGTTTTGTATACAAAACTTTTAATATCATGGATTTAGCTGTTCAAGACATTAAAATTCATTGAAAATTAATATACTTGTTCGTATCAATCTGAAGTCAATTGGATGATAACTTTAGCCTTTAGAGCATCACAAAGTGACCAAGGGCCATAACTTTGGCAGTAATTATCGGAAATCACTGAAAATCAATAGGCTTCTTTGTCCCATGACCTTAAACACTGTGTATAAATTTAAAGTCAATGGGATATTAACTTAGGTCTCTAGAGCGTCCACAAGATTTTTCAAAGTCATCAAGGGCCATAACTCTGGCAGTAATAATCGGAAATCGCTGAAAATCAATAGGCTTCTTCGTCTCATGACCTTAAAACACTGTGTATAAATTTAAAGTCAATCGGATATTAACTTAGGCCTCTAGAGCGTCCACAAGATTTTTCAAAGTGATCAAGGGCCATAACTCTGGCAGTAATAATCGGAAATCGCTGAAAATCAATAGGCTTCTTCGTCTCATGACCTTAAAACACTGTGTATAAATTTAAAGTCAATCGGATATTAACTTAGGCCTCTAGTGCGTCCACAAGATTTTTCAAAGTGATCAAGGGCCATAACTCTGGCAGTAATAATCGGAAATAGCTGAAAATCAATAAGCTTCTACGTCTCATGACCTTAAACACTGCGTATAAATTTAAAGTCAATCGGATATTAACTTTGGCCTTTAGAGTGTCCACAAGATTTTTTGAAGTGATCAAGGGCCATAACTCTGGCAGTAATTATCGGAAATCGGACGCCGGACCGATGGACAGACGGACGGGGGCGACAACAATATACGACCACATTTCAATGTGGGCGTATAGAAATAATCATATTCTGCAACATACATCTTTAAAACATAAAAATATTAGGTTAGAGTCCAGATATAAACAAGGTTTTTTTTCTCAAAATAAAAAAAATATCACATATTTTGGGGTTCCGTTGGTTTCTACTTTTGTTAGTTTGTTACTTCTGGACATGCAGTCATTACACATCATTATTTACAAATGACACAAAATGTCCAATTCGTCACAAATCCTTCTGGGAACATACTACATATTATAATATTAAACAAGATGAAGTTTCTAAAAGGATGAAATTTATTACAAGGTAAACAATGAAAGGGAGGGTTGTACTTGTACTGAATAATGCTAGGAAACAGTCTGAATCAAAATTCTAATTAGAGGATGAGAAATGATATGGCCAAATCTGAGTATTTCATTGCCATACAATAAACTGTAAACTAAAGAAAGCTACACAAATGTTACCACCCCATGCATGTTGTTATGTGGTGAAGAGTAGAATGGGGTTCTAACACTCCAACTTACATTTACAAATAATCGAGGTAATAATGGTACAACTTCTGTCATTCCTTTGTAATCTAAAGCAAAGTCAAATTTACAAAGTTATATGAATTATCATACATAACTTGGAAGTTACAGAAATTGCATTTCATTGTTACAAAACAAGAGCTAAAACCGTCATGTTTCTTGCTAACTGACGAATCTGATATATTTAAAGTATTGGGAAATATGTGTTTGAAATTTGCGTGACATTGTTATCTCTGTAGCCATCAAATAATAATACTTTAAATATATCAGATTCGTCGGTTTGCAAGAAATGTGACGAAACAACCCCTTTCGTTTTGTTCATGAGAATTGAAATACCCCTTTAAACAGCCTGTAATAAAATCTTGACAATAAGCATATTAAGCCGTTGATCGTCAAAAGTGTTCATGTCTCTTTAAGTTTCAAAGTATAAAGTCTGAGGTTCAGTAAGCAGTACTCTCTAGATTGTTGAAAAAAGATCAAATCAACGGCCTGGTTGTTTTGACTACTTTTTCCAGTGACTACTTGGCATATTATTTATGAGAGAGGGCTTAACTCCCCTCAGCACAAATCAGGTCATTTCACAACTAACACATGGTTCAATTTTATATCAATAATTTGCTTGCTCATAGGGTGTCTTTAGCAGGGGAGGAAACCAGAGGCCTAGGAGGAAACCGACGAGGTGGAACAGACAACCATATTCCTTGTCGCGTACAAGCTGAAAATCTAAACTATGCCACTTGACTCAATGAAAGACCTTATGATCTAAATCACACGAGTCAAACCATTCGGCCACCCAACAACCCTTTTATGAAATAACTGTTGTTCTATTGCAACTGTGATATAATCATTAACCAGTTCAAATCATATCAGTAGTGCGCACCATTTAGACTCTTCTTAATTCCACAATGTTACTATGTACCCTAGTGGTAAACTTTCTTTTATTTTTTCACAAATGCCAAATTTATGTACATGTTTTGGGCTTAAATTCTGAAAATGAAACTGGAAATATTTATTAATTCAAATTAAAAGAAAAGAACTATTTAAGAGATAATTTAATAGTTATTTTGTATAATACTCACCAGGAAGTATGTTTTTAAATCTGTTTTTAAGTATGTTTTCTTGGGTTAAAGCTGCAGAGCATTCATCTTTTTCTATATTTGGTGACAGAAGTTGTAAAACCTAGGATAATAATAAATTATAATATATTTATAACACATTCCAAACTGAAAATTGTCCTTTTTATTTATTTAAAAATGGTGAACAGATCTCCAAAACAAAAATTGTGGTCTAAGGGGAGATAATATAAAGAAAGGGACAACAATGCTGAGTCACCTCCCTTTGCATTATTCTACCCATTCAGCTTTTATCAACCATTTTATTCTGAAAATATCATAACTCAAAGTTTACTAGGATTAATTTCTTTCAACTTACATTATATTGTTTTTCTAGCTCTGTTTTATCACCTTCGTTAGTAGCTGTACACATATCTTGATATACAGTTCTAAAAGCTGATCTAGATATAGTTGTATTACCACTCTTTACTGCTTCTAGTACAGCATCATATACAAACACATACTGTTCCTATAATACACAAATACTACACATTAATAATTCTAATACAGCATCATATAACAACAAATACTGTTCCTATCAGACATAAATACTACACATTAATAATTCTAATACAGTATCATATAAAAACAAATACTCTTCCTATAACACATAATACAATATTGCACTATCTATACATCTATACTAATATTTGTGACTGTCGTTTGTCTGTCTGTTTGTTTGTCTGTCTGTCTGTCTGTTCGGGGTTGGCGGCTACACTAGGTCTGCCCAGAGTCTTAAATTTGGGGTATAGGGGTAGCTCGGACCGGGGAGTAACATAGGCCAGGTGGCATTAGTCTACCACTTCCGGTTTCAGAGTTATGACCCCCGAGCGAAGGTGGGCATTCTTCTAGTAGATCATAAAACATAATCAAACTATTATATTTGAACTGAAATGAAATGGGATTTAACATCTTAATTTTCTGCACCAACCTTGCTGATCAAGAAGGGCATATACCATGCAGTAACCATGCAGTCTGCTATGAGTGAAATTTTGCCTCACAGTGGTGCTTACAGCCTACTCTTATTGTGATTTCCTACTATCAGGGGATCTTTAACCTGCTGCCCATGGTATCCATAAGACCTCATTATTTTGTTTCATCCGAGTAACTAGACGCTATTCCAAGAACAAGGACAAAACCTACTGGAAAGTCCTTTCTTAACCAGCATAGGAATCAAACTAAGATTTCCTGGTTAAACAGCTAATGCCCTACTGGCAACACAGGCTCCATATTAATAGTATATATCTTACCCATGTTTGTATCATATTAACTCTATTGGTTCTCATAACTTGTGCTATATATAATACATCAACAAAATCTTCACGTTGAGCTTGATCTAACAAATAATCTAATGCTATATATGTTCCTGTTCTACCAATACCAGCACTGAAATAAATAACCATTAAGTTAAATTATTATGACATGAGACGTTTTTTACAGTATACTCATTATTATGAGTAAATATTCCAAATTGATTATGAAATGAAATGAAATGAAATGGGGTTTAACGTCCTACTGTTTTGCTCCGAACTGGGCTAATGAAGACGGGCATACGCCATACAGTGTGCTATGAGGGTAATTTTGCCCGGACAGCGGCACTACGGCCTACTCTTATATCGAATTCCAACTGTCAAGGGATCTTTTACGTGCACGCCAATGTGTACACGGGACCTCGGTTTTTCGTCTCATCCGAATGACTAGACAGCTGTCCTTGTCAGGCCCTCCGTCCTGCATCACTGACAAGGGGGAACCACGCCGGAAAATCTGGATGAAAAATTGATTATGCAAATCTTCAAACTTGCTCGCCTGCCAAAGCTCGGTACTTCAAATATAATGTGGCATTCCAAAAACGAACCAGAAACTTGTCAAGTCCGAAATTTGGTACAGTCAAAGAGCAGTAATTCGTGTATTTCACTAGGAATTCCAATACTAAATTGTTACAGACGGCAATTTTTGGGGCTGAGACTTGAAAATTAAAAAAAAAAACCAGATTTATTTTTAAAATTCTTCTGCTCTTTGGCCATCTTATGAGGCAAATAGTTGCTTTTATGGAGAACAGATCTGAATACCAACTCAAGATCTACATCATGTACACATTGAAATGAGTAATAGAAACCGATCTGTTCTTTCATAAACAGGCCTAACAAACTGTTTCAATCAAATCTTACACAGGAGTCAGGACACATTTAGTAATGGAATTGGGACTAGACAATTCTATGGAATATTGTTTATTAGGCTTCTCTAATAATCTTTATCAAGTACGATTTAATTGTCCAAACATAAAATTGTAAGATAATTTTTGAGTTTAGAAAATTTTGAATTTCCATAAGATTCTTCCTTTATGATCACATGAAGCACCCTTGCAAATTCAAAAAAATCTGATTCTTTAAGAGTGCTCACACGAAATTGTGGCCGAACACCAGGCAATGAAAGTAGGTGACGACAATATATGTCCACATTATATATAGACAGAGAGAGAGAGAGAGGGTTAAACATCAACTCAACAATTCAGGACTAGCATATGGTTCAAAGGTATTTCATTAATATGCTTGTGCATAGGGTTCTTTACCAGGTGACGCGGAGAAACCCCACGAGGTTGGACAGAAGACCCTACTCCTTGTCACGTACAAGCAGTGAATTGAATCGACGCCACCTGACTCAATGACAGACCTTACGATCTAACGTGCCTGCATTAATCCATTTGGCCACCCACGTGGGCATATAAATAGAATAATGAAACACATTAATACTATACCTGCAGTGACAGAGTATTGGAGCTGTACTATCAGTATTATACATTAATACTTTCCGTCTAAAAGCTAACAATGTTGTAGGGTATGTAGGGGCTCCATGATCAGACCAGGTTGTAAAATGAAACTGTTTCACAATTTTACTTATTTCTTCCTGAAAAAACAAAACAATAAAAGTGAAAAATTTCCTTTAATGAACAGCATTTTAACAAAAAATTTAACAGAGACAGAAAGTGCTCAACTTTGCAATATTCACTAGTTAACGTTGACTGCTTTGTGTAAAACTTCCAACAGCGAATTATTATTGTGATATACATGTAATTATATCCTGAGCCTACTAGTTGTCATAATGCTGCTGTAGTTAGGATAAAGAAGATGTTATTATTAGTTAGGATAAAGATGATGTTATATTAGTTAGGATAAAGATGTTATAATAGTTAGGATAAAGATGATGTTATAATAGGATAAAGATGATGATGTTATAATAGGATAAAGATGATGTTATAACAGTTAGGATAAAGATGTTATAACAGTTAGGATAAAGAACTTATAACAGTTAGGATAAAGAACTTATAATAGTTAGGATAAAGATGTTATAATAGTTAGAATAAAGAGGTTATAATTGTTAAGATAAAGATGCTAGGATAGTTAGGATAAAGATGTTATAATATTCAGGATAAAGATGTTATAATAGTTAGGATAAAGATGTTATGATAGTTAGGATAAGATGTTAGGATAGTTAAGATAAAGATGTTAAAATATTTAGGATTAAGAAAAAGATATACCTTAGATATTTCAAATGTTCTTATGATGTAATCTGTATATTTCTTTGTATGAACAAGTTTTACTGTAACTTCACCATATTTTATAGAACCTTCTTCTGGCCAATATTGTTCACATTTTCTCTAAAAACAAAAATTGTTAAAAAAATAAACAGAAGTTTTGATAAAAAAATATGCTTAAAAAAAATAATTTAAAATTCAATACTCTGTTCACATGGACAAAGTTCAAATAGACAATTTTAAACCATACATAATCAAAAGTATTCAAATTATGGCCATTTGAAGTTTACATTAGTTTCTATTGGTTTCACATCTTTATACACATGCAATGTCTGAAATATATTTAAATCCATAAACAAGTGAAGAAATTATCTAATCTTTTAAATAATTATCAAAACAACATTTTTCAAACCATAATTTTATACAATTTAAACAAATGAAATTTTGATTGTCCATTTGTCATGTTGTCTCTATTTAGTATATGATATCAAATGAAATATTAGACAACTTACTTTGCATGCTTCAACCAAATTTGTCAACATCACTATCTTGGATATTTTTAGCTGCCACACCATTCGCCAAAAATCACGAATCATAGTTTTATTAGGACCTGAAAAAGCAAATGTTAAACCTAACAATTTAATTCCACTGCTTGTGGCAGCCAGACTAAAAGGAAGCAAGGCTGTATCTTGATCTTTCCATGTTTTACCTACAGTTGGAAATCTCTTCATAACAATTCTGATCACATGCAGTATTGAATATGTATAATGTTGTTAAATAAAAATTGGTTAGTCTTACGTTTTGACTAATGATTATTCAAACTTACCTTGTGAAGCTATAAAAGCTTTTTTTCTGTTATAACCCTACAAAAATAATACCACAAAACATACAATTACTTACTACATCTACCTGTATAAATACATACTTTTTCTGTTATACTCCTACATAATTATTACCAAATACTTATAACTTTATAGTTTGTCGAGACATAAATTTTTTCTTTTTGATTACCGTACTTGGAGGTTACCAAGTAATGCTGAATTAAGCTATACTTTAAGATATTCTCAAACTATTAGCATATATTTATTGGTGTTAACATCAATCCTCATCTAATAAAAATTCTGCATGTAAAAATACCATGGTACCAACTGTTATGGTATCAACCATTATCCCAATCAATAGATTTCAGCTTGGAATTTTTACCTGGGAAAAATATTAAAAGGTCAGACAGGCGACCTTATTACTTATTACACACAAACTTGCAATCAAACTCACAACTTGCAAAGATGACAGACTACTCGGCCATCCGATTCCCCATCAAATTAAAACAAAGAGTAGAAAGACTTACATCCATGTAATTAGCGTTGACATAATCTGTATTTTGTTCACCAGGTATAGGATCTAATACAACACGAGAATGATCATCTGAAATTATATATATTATAGATAAATCAATATTCACCAATACACATACACAGAGAGAGAAATGGGGTTTAACATCCACTGGACACAAACTATGTCGTTCGGGACTAACATAATATTATGGTTCAATTTTATTTCGATTAGTCGCTTGCGGTTAAGGAGCCTTAGCAGTGGGAACAAACCGGAGGACCCTACTCCTTGTCATGTGCGAGCAGGGAATAGAAACTACGTAACTTAACTCAATGACAGAACTATAATCCAAGGCACACATGTTCAACCATTCGGCCACACAACAAAGTTTAATTTCAGTTATTTTAGAGTTGATTTTTAGAACTTTAAAAAGTCAAATATAACTTACATGCAACAATATTACCATATCTATTTTTAGCTCTATTATCAGGTCTACGACTTACTTCACAGCAAGCTAATAAACCGACTGGCAATTCCTACAAAATAAGCAACCATCACAGCATTAATAATTCTATCATAATATCAATACATTTCAATATAAAGAATACATCACTGACTACAAGTTGTACAGTGACAGCTTACATTCTATAAGGAATCAACCACAAATATCCAGAAAGAACAAAATAGAAATAAATTCTAACCTCAAACTCCCTTTTAAACCCATAAAAGTTGTTTTCTTTATTTTTCTTGATATAATCATACAGTTGTGATAACATGACTGGACTACTCTGCTTCTTGGTGTTGTTGACGTTCATATAGATTGGCTCACTAATTATCTCCTCATTGATCTGATTGTCCACATGCTCTGACAGCACTGTTTGGTCTGCGAAAAAAACTAGACAAATGTCCAAAAGAACAACACTATTCAATTAGCACAGAAAAAGCAACAGAAGAGAAAGCAAAGCTGAATTTTAAAACCAAAACCAAAAAAGAATGACATATATATTCTAAATAAACAGCAAGAAATGAAAAATAGAACTTAAAATAATGAGAACCTCTCTAATTTGGTCAGAAATGACAGTGTAGATTTAATTAAACATAATGTCTTGTCTTGTTTTCTATGTTTTGTTTTGAAAGACAGCTATCTTTTAAAAAAAATTCACATCCACAACATAAGTCGCCGTTCAGATGAAACTGATTTTTTGACAAACTAGTGAGGCTTGCTCTACCAAAATGAAAAGAAAATTATTCAGAGATTGTCCCGTTGTATTAGCATGTTGCTCTTTTAATATCACATTTTGACCTAAATCAAAGAATTCCGGCTCCAAAGTATATGCATTAGTACTAGAAAACAAATCTAAAGATAAAAAGAAAGATAATTATAAAGATTAAATTTAGTTATATGCAGAGGAGCAGCTTTAGTAAATATTCAGTTGAGTTACTGCCAAGCATCTTATCTCACTAAAATTTAAATATTTAAGAATATTGTCTATTCATAGGATGAATAATACAAATCTTATTGTTAAACCAATAAAAGTACATTGTTACCAATTCAATATCTAAGTTTTAGTGAATAATAAAGCTACATTTCATGTATGATTTGTTTATTTTTTTGACCATTGGCCAAGCATTGAATTAAAAATTAGCTTATTACATAAACTTGGTCAAAAAAAATTGAAACACAATGGTGGCATGCATCAGTTGATATTGTCTGTACAGTTGATTTCTTTTAAAATTATTTTAATTTTATTTATAAAAGTTAGAAAATCGTTACCTACTCCGTCAATATTCGGACTATCATGTACAGAAGATGGGGCATGTAGAATGCTGTTATAATGTATAACATTGTATAGCCATTATATATTGCAAGCAATTGCTCTGATTAACAAACTAAAAACTACAACAATTTCTTAAACATTATGTGCTTACATGATCAAGGTGTTATGTAAGCTCATAAAATGTTGGAATTGTTAAAACTTAATACAAAACAATACTGAAAGATGCCAACAGTGACACAGATATCCCCGACCTCAATCCCAAAATAAATAGAAACACACATATTATTTAATTGCACATTTATCCCTTTGCAAAGCACCGGACAATCAAACTTAGCCTAAGCAGAAAATGTTCATGGTTGAACTTAGTTAAGGTATTGATGTAATGAAACCAATTTTAACCACTCTCGCTCAATCGCTCAATTAGAATTAAAAAAGGCTCAATTAGAAGCCGAGTTATTCTGTCCAAAAAACTGTAATAGATAGATGAACAGACTGATCGGCAGACCCATATTAATAATCTATTTAAGTTATTACAATCTTACGGATTGTAGATTTTTAAATATTCTTACCATCCCCCAATCTAGAATCTCCCAATAATTGACAGGTTTCCATTCCCTGTATCTGTAATTCTTCTTCTTGTATACCATCTTTACTGAAAGGTTTGGCTATATTCATCCTCTTCCTTTTACGATTTCTACAATCAAATAAACACATCATGATACTGGAAAAATTTTTTAAAAGAGGAAGACCTATAAAAATTGGCAAGTAATCTATAAAGGGACACTAAATTGATTGAGAGGAAAAGAACGAACAGATAGACATTACGGAAGGATAAATTAACAACAATAGTGCCTGATGGGATATTGTTCTATTCCATGGTCACGTGGTATTTCGTTATATATGGTAAATGGAATAATTATGTCATACTATTAGCATGATAAATATAACAATACTAGGCAATTACCTAAGTATTTGTTATTCCAAATACAACAATACTTACCTCAAGAATAAAATAATAAGTTTGAGTATTATAAAAAATACAATAATACTTACCTCAAGAATAAAATAATAAGTATGAGTATTATTATAAATACAACAACAGCTGCTACAACACCACCTACTACTGATGACTTTAAATTCACTTGTAAAACTGTAATTAAACAATATTTAAATTAAAAAAATAAAATTATGTAAAATATTATATGACCACGATAAATATGCAGAACATCTAAATTCAAAAAACTAACTGTACAATCAAAACTGTTATAAAAATATATAAACCGAAAAATTTCCCTAAGTTGTTAATATACCCCTGATGGCCATATTTTTTCTTAAGTTTGATTAAAACATTTTTGTGCACAGACTTCTGCTCTAACAAGAACATTCACCTGCTTTTATGTTTCAATACAAGACATTAACGCTCCTTATTTCATTTCTTATCCATTGAACGTACCATTTCATTAACTGTATAACATCCACTAGAGAAGACTCAATGTATTTTCTAGTCAATGATCACTAATCATTCTCCCATACCTTATTTAATTTCAATGGTTTTATGTGGTTTATTGGTATCCAGGGAAATGAATGAAACAGATGTAATTGAGAGTTGTGTTTTTGCTATTTACGTCTGCTGTGAAAAGTCCTACTGATAAGATATTTTACCACATGGCTATCTTATTACATTTTCATATGATAATGTAAAATTTAGACATATCACACCAAAAAGCATACTCTTGCTAATGATTTTACAGTGTGTGCACTGATTGATTGTTTACATATTACATTAGGTTTCCGTCTTCTCTTCGAATTTCTAACAATTTCCCTGATTGGTTTAATGCTGTCATATTTGTATTACAGTCTGCTGGAGTCTAAAAAGTTTCTAGGAGTTTTTTGTCCAATAAAATCATGAAACCAGCAGTTGCCAGACAAGAGATGGATAGAAAACAAGCTAATAAAAAAAAGCAATTTTTCGTACAACCAGGGGCCATATTCCAGAAAGTTATGGTCTGTAATGCACGAATAACGAAAGGGATTGAGATATAAAGATATATTTTCAGTTCCATCAATATCAGATAAATATTGTGACTTCAAGAGGGTCCACAACCTTAGTATCACATACTTTTACACTATTTGCGTATAAGGAGCCCTAGATAGGGTGGTTTGGGGAGATCTGAGTGATAAAGGGTTAAACAAATAAATCAACAAAACTAAACTTAGTTAATTCATTACTAAAAACTATAGACATATTTTCCCAAAGCTACATTAATTGACTCAGTAAGAATTTTTGCACTATTTTCACCTTGACCATTAATGTCCACCTGCAGTCATCTGAACAGCCATGAGTGTAAAACGTTGGTACCCGGTAATTATGGATTTTTTCGTGGACCAAGACTGCTAAAATCACCTTGCGTCTGATAATGTGGTACTAGCAACTAGTTGGCTGGTATATCCGGTAGTACTTTTATCTTCTAAAATTGCTTACCTTCTGCACATCTATAGCCTATAAAGCCCTCAGCACAGCCTTGTGAACACTGTCCTGTTATACGATTACATGGTTTACCTAGTTTACAATTACCACATGTAAAACTACAGTTCTCACCATACCATCCTGTCTCACAACCTGGTAATAAATATAATATCACATGGTTTACAATTACCTCATTTAAAACACAAAAAGATCATATTGAGCAACAACCAGTTACTTTGACAAATAAAGTCCAGGCAAACTGAGCTCAAAATAAATGAAAAAAAAGTATTGTTTCAAAATGTTAACTTGAAAAATGAAAGTTTTTATTGAATATGAATTTGCCTTGTGCTTTTCAATTAAATTCATAGATTAAACAAAAGTTCAAATCCAAATGATTTTTCTTTCAAATCTTTATGGCAAAAAATAATTAATTTCTCATTAATCCACCAAAATAAAGATTTAAATAACGCAGCTAAATGTACTTACTTTTATTACAATGTTGTCCAAGTGATCCTGACTGACAACCATTTTCACAGATTCCAGACACATGATGACATGTAACACCATATTTACACAAACCACATGGTTGTTTACACATTATACCATAATAATTAGCAGGACATTCTAAAATATATTTATCAGATAATTCATGGATAATTATTTGTCATATAAAAGAAAGATCAACAAAAGTTTGAAATTAAAAACTTTGAAATTTTGACATTGAAATGTTTACTGTAGTAACAAGCATTTTAACCAAATTTATTCAACCATATTACTTTTTCATTTAGAAAATATTTGTGATCTGTTCAAAATCCATTTTAACATATTGACATTGAATAATACACAGGTTGTTTTTTTTATTAATGGTGAATAACTCAATAGACGAAGCCTCAGATATTTTCTTATAAATATTTAAAGAGCACATCAGATGACAAAATAAAATTATATGTACATATAACCAGTGGTTGCTATATGTATACACATTACAACAAGTTCACACCAATATGACTAAAATTATTCGACATATTACCGTTTAAGTAACAGACACCTGAAAACAATTTTTCAATGACAACCTTAATCCGGTTGATTGGCTGGTCACGATACTAATACATTATTATGAATGTATCATTGTTTATCCACTGGCTAAGGGGGTAAGACGCTGGCTCGCTAGCCTGGAGGTCGGGTGTTCGATCCCTGCATTGGCCGAGATAGTTCATCCAGATTTTTCGGCGTGATGCAGGTCGGAGGGCCTGACAAGGAGAGCTGTCTAGTCGTTCGGATGGGACGGAAAACCGAGGTCCCCTGTACACATTGGTGTGCATGTAAAAGATCCCTTGACAGTTGGAATTCGATATAAGAGTAGGCCGTAGTGCCGATGTCCGGGCAAAATTTCCCTCATAGCACACTGTATGGAGTATGCCCGTCTTCATTTGCCCAGTTCGGAGCAGAACAGTAGGACATTAAACCCCATTTCATTTCATTTCATTTGTTTATCCACACTGCCAGTTGACTAGTGTTTATTGACAGTTCAATTAACAAACTGATTGACCTAATCATTACATTTTTAAGTCAAAACATTTTTAAGAGCTGCCGTTCTCGTAACGAATTGTTATAGATTAAATACGTGTGACTGGATTAATTTAAATTCTACATTATCTTAAAAAGTCATAGCCAACTTCCACATATTATCATGTCTGTTATTGCTATACGTCATTTTTTACAGCTATTTTGCACCAAAATCAACCATTTTATTAGTTTCGTAGTCAGTAATGAACTATATATGGTAGGCGATGAATTCCATGTGACAGCGAGATTGTGTGAAAGTGCTACTGTAGATGGGAATTTCTGTACGGAGTCTTAAAAGACGTAGTTTCAATACAGAAAAAAGTTAAAGGTGTTAATACATGTAGGCAGCGATTCGTATGGATATATTTTGCGTATGTATGGAATATTTTGTTGTTGGTGAACGGAAAATAGATAAAATATTGTGTAATGACAAATTGGCTGCCAGGTGGCACAGAGCTTAAGTAGAACCAGTGGTCACAGGTAGGTCAGCATTGTCACATTCAGGCTTGGTAGAGGACTGGGCAGTAGATAAGGATTGAAGAATTTTGAACATTATAATTACTGTCCATTGATTTGGGGTGCTATATACTATTAGGATATGACTAGTTTCTACCTGCTGCCAGTTGACTTCAAGGAAATTAAAATGTCCAACAATGGAAACCACAAGGTAATCAAGTAGATTAAGTAGGAACATGCAGCAAGTTTTTTTTATTATTTATTTGTCGAAGGTTGGGCTGGCATTATTTATTTATTTTCATCAAGACCAATAAAAAGACTCTACGTCCAACCATTTTTGGGTGCGGGCGGTGCCCGAGTAAACAACTTATTTCATTTGTGTTACCCAAAACAAATTCTAAATAAGATCTAAAATTAAAATAAATTACAAAACAAATTATAGGACATAATCTCAGATATTATTATGGAATACAATAGGAAGAAAATTTGCCTAAAATACAGCTTATATCCTTGTGTAATAAAAGAATTCATTCACTTATTTTGTGAAGAAGACTCAAGTTTGTGACACCGTGGCTGAAAGTGTTCTAAATGAGTATTCTTAGAAACAGAAATTTAAATTCCTCCCCTAATACATCTGAAAAGTGTGTGTACTACATTTTTAAATCAACTCTATACAGATGCTACAAATGATTTAATCAACTTACGTTCATGGCATCCATCTTGTTGACCAGTATAACCAGATTCACAACTTCTAAAACATGCTCCAGTCACATGATCACATGTATCATTATCCCCACAATGGCCACAGTCATTCATACAGTTTGGACCATAATATTTCCCAGGACAAACTGAATAACAAATAAATAAATAAAGTAATTATTTGTTCCTCACTCACTGATTATCACTCATTTCTAATTTATTTTTTATGTAAATACTAGTAAACTCAAGTCATATTTTAAATTCTCCTTCATTTTTCAGCACATTCATACAAAGAATGAAGTAAATACCTGGACTTGACATGAAGTATGACCGATTCCTAAATTTCTCAGATTAGTACGATATTTTGTCACAACAAACAGTTGTATGCCATATGTACAATTCTACTTTGATAATAAATTTAAAATATATTATTCATACCTTTGGTACATTTAGTACCATAGTATCCTGATTTACATTTGTCAAGACATCTTCCTGTCTCTGAATGACAATTATCATTTAAACAATGACCACATAGGTTTTCACAATTAATACCATATTTACCTTTAGGACAAGCTGTAAATAATTTAGAGATAATAGTAAAGGTTAAATATACAACTTAAGACCATACACAAAAATTATATAAACCTAACTTACATAATAGTCATTTGAAGTTTACATTGATTTCTATTGATTTTACACTGTGATCTTTATGTGTCTTAGATAAATAAAACAATAATTTTGCTAAAATGTTTTGTACTTGGTTGTGATTAATTACAAAATAATAAGAATCTGTGAATTATAAAAGTACATATTTTTGACATATATGGGTTATTTGTCAAAAATCCAGTTTTATACGCCTTTAATATTTATAGTGGGACCTCGGAACCAAAATTATTACGGCTCATTCTCAATGAATACTAATAATTGTGCAGGTTACTGAAATGATTCAATTTTCATAAAAACTTAGCAATTTTGTTTTTGTATAATAATTTGTATTGAAGCTGTGTAAGTTATTGGGGTAATTTTTATAAAAAAAAATTGTTGACCAGTAAAAATTATATGCATCACATGAATTAGGCAGAATTTTCAAACAAATGTTGACAAAATTTGTATATGAATTATCACAGTTATTAAATTATCAAAATATTTTTCATTAAATTGTCGATTAACACCCAAAAAAAATATTTATGGAAGTCTGAAGACCAGATTTTACATAAAATTATATACTGGTATATATTTTCCATTTGATGCAGACCAAAAAGTACATCTTCAACTATGCATTGTAAGTGCATAATTATTAATGACTTACGTATATCACAAAGTGTACCAATCCAACCAGGAGCACAACCAGATTCACATGTTCCTATTTCTTTATCACATATTTCACTTATATTCTTACAATGGCATTCTTTTAAACAACTTGCTCCATATAAATAATTAGGACACTCTATAAATTCAAAAAAAATATTCATATTACAAACATTTATTTTATAAATCTTACAAAATCTATTTCTCCACATACATGTACATGTATGTATCAAATCAATTTTACAAGAAAGACAGACATTTTTTTCTCAGTTTTGTCTATGTTGATCCCCACCACCCTTTGCACCACAGATGCCTATGTTAAAATAATATTTAATTCTAAATTCCAAAAGAAGATACTTTATATTGGGTGCAGTGTGCATATTCCTAAGTTGACATCCCTGAAGTAATAGTTACGCAGTTTGACTCAGTATCCATATTTTGTGCATATAATAAGACTCGTAATGGTAAGAAATTGCATCAGTTATGTATCTATGTGTGGTTCCATGTTTTCATGTTAAAACAATAGTTGACAATAGATTGATCATGTTACTTCCATCTATTTTCACTGTCATTATACAACAGTGCAAGCCTTTCAACAACCCATTGGCCAACAGTTTATAATTAGACTTATAAATCTTTGATATGGTATTGTATTTCTTATTTTTCTTTTTCACCTATAATTATCGGGTCTACTTACAGCTTCTGAATACTCTTTATTTCTTATATAATACATATTATTATATTTTATATGTCTACAATTTTACATGGAAAAATGTCATGGCTATTATCTATTGTAACAAAAAATATAATGTACATGTACTTAAAACTGAATTGGTACAAATAAGTCAAACCATGACACCGGTATTGTGGTTAACATCTAATTAGCACAAAGATGGTAAACTCAGGACTAAAATATGATACCATTTTATTTCAATAATTGGCTTGCTTGTAGGGGTCTGATTGTAGCTGAAGGAAACGTGAGGACCACATTTCTTGTCATGTACAAGTTTCGAATCAAAACCAGGCCATTTGAAACAATGAAAGGTTTTATGAAAAAAACACTCAGAAAATTTAAGTTAGCACAAACTAATAACTTTTAAAACAATAGGACATTGGTCCATTACAAAAATTCCTTGAAATAAATCTAAAAAGGTAATTTTCTAATATGTCAAAAACTTACCACAGACTTTTAGAGCGTCGCATTTCTTATATGTTATAGATCCATCTTTTTTTTCTACGTAACACCAGGGTAAATCGGTAAAATCTTTGTCCCCTGGGTTCCGACAGTAATTATGATTAACATCATTGTCAGGAAAGTCATCAATATTGAAGTCAGTATAGACGCCAGAATCTTTAACTTTGGTCCAATTTAAACATGTTATGTTGGGTGCGATTTCGTTCAATGAGCCAGTATAATTTACACCTCTTCTATCATATAGACATGTGTTATCTAGATAATAAAATATATAAAAGTTAAAACCTTGCAAAAATTAAATAAAAGAACAACAATTAAATATATGCATAGAAGTGAGAAATTACCGCACACTTAACCCATATAAATACTTACACGTTACAATATAGTCCGCAAATGAGGAGATATTTTAAAATTCTTTTTTGAATACAGCATCTATACCATGTAATACTGTAGTTAAAAATTATTTGGGATTGTTGATTAAATAATGTACATTGCATGTCAATGAAAAACTTACTATATTGGCAGTTGATACCATATTTATTTGATTGACAGCCAGAAGGGCAAGCACCAGTTAAAACATCACATTCTTTGTTATCAGCACATTGACAAAAAAAACGACATTTCCATCCAAATCTTCCTTTAGGACAACCTGTAAAATATAATAAATAACTAAATGAAATGGGGTTTAAAGTTCTACTTTTCAGGCTAATGACATTTGCCATGCAATGTGCAACATGTACATAATGTAATGTATACAGAAAATTTTGCCCGGACAGCAGGACAGTGACGTTTCTGCTTACTTTTCAACAAATTCCAACTGCTACCGGTTGTATTATGCACACACCTACACAAACAAATGGATGCTCGATCTTTCCAAGCCATCTAGCCAGTGCCAAAGGGAAAACATTTTCCTTGGCCAATGTAGGGCTGAACCTGGGACTCTTTATTAGCACCCAATGTTATGTCACCCTAAAGTTTTATAACAAAATTAGATACATGTAGTAACTGAATACCAAAATCGAGCTCACATTGGTTCCACTTAAATTTATAGAACTTCTGTATTAAAACATGAAATAAAGTTTAAAAGTTCATGATAAGCTAGTTAACTGGGAATTTTCAGGGGATTTTGAAATTAGTGCAAGCTGAAAGTAGAATTTGTAAAGGAATATTGGCCCCAAATGGTTCAATTTCGTTCAGTATGAGTAAATGAAAGATACTACATAATGTGATCCATACATGTAGCCCAGCTAAACCATTATTTTGTTTTTTGGAATGATCTTAAAAATTGCCCATACGATTTCCTAGTATTCTCCAAATTAGGAATAGATGAGATCTTGTACACACATGCAACGTCCCTTTAATATATGTCACTGGGTTTAGTATATATATCATTAACAAACAATGTCAATTACCACTGATGAAACTATTAAAATTCCATTTATTAAGTATATTTATATGAAAGTCAGGATGTTTATAAAGTTGATGGTTTAATCATATCATAGTTGACAGGTGTCTATATGGTTTATATCCCAGCAGCTGATTAACCCAGCTATCTGTTGGATATAATAGTATTGATTTGTTTCGTGTAATGTAGCTAGTAACATAACTATTATTACAGTAACATAAAAAATATTTAGATCGAGAAACTAATCAATTACAGAGACCTATAATATCTTACTGTAGGCAGTCCCTGTGGAAACTACCAGTATATAATTATAAATATATCAGTTTCAGATAGCTATATGTACACAGGGTAGATTAGACAATTTACTCATCATTTATAGTTCTATTTGAGAAAGAACAGGACCATCAGGTAATGGGTAAAATTAACTTTATGTATGATTTATTTATTGGGAAAAAACACCAGACATCATCAAATAAAACAGTCACGATATGATAATCGAAGTATAGGGGTTGATGGATAGGCTGAAGACCCCAAAATAAGTTAAAAGAGAAAAAAGTCCCAGTTAAAGTTAAAGTAATGATGCGTCCCTTGCATTTCTGACAGTGAAATTCACACAATATGTACTCAGAATCTCAAGATAGATTATCTAACAATTAATTAAGAAAACAAAATCAAAATACCAATTCCTGCCATGTATTCAATCTAGATTTTAAACAGGTCTATCACCTTCACCCACAACATAACAGCAGCAGGCATACATATAGGTCGATGAAATTCAATTCAACATGTCTTTCTAAATACTGAATGGTATTGAACCATTTTTGGACTGATATTCCTTTTAGAGATTCAACTTTTACAATATTGTAGTTTACAAGGGATTCCTATTGCTCTGTAAAGATGCAATGAGACTTTAATGACAATTATTCTTTTTTTTAAAAATCACTAAAAGAGATACTATAACTATCATTTTGATGAAAGGATCCCTGTTTCTGTTTGCATTTCAGCCAAGGGACCCTTGCAATCATATTCTGGCTATGTTCAAAAGATGTCTTCCCAATAGTACTGTACATGTACCTAAAGTCACAATTATGGGCAGGATTTTGCTGTACAATACAAATGTGCATGTCAAGTCATGAATGATCCAATATCAAGTTAATGATGGCAATTAACATGTGTAAAAGTCAGAAAAGGTCATGTTCACCCCTTGCTTGTTTCAAATGTATACTTTAATTATCTCCAATGTATCTGCTAATTATGTATCAATACCTTGTGATTTATTACACACTCCATTTTTTAAGCTTCTAAATCACTATATAAATAATACTATTCAACACTTATTTCTCTGTAAAAGTTAAAGCCATGCATTTAAAACCAGCGGTTGCCAGGCAAGATGTGCAACATTTTGCAAGAGATGGATGGAGAACAAGCTAAAAACAAAAGCGATTTTTCGTACAATCAGGGGCCATAATACAGAAAGTTATGGTCTGAAGTGCACTAATATCAAAAGGGACTGAGATCTTTGGGACATAAACATATATTTTAAGTTTCATCAAAATCGGATAAAAATTGTGACCTCTAGAGGGTCCACAACCTTCGTATTACATACTTTTACACAATTTGCGTACAAAGAGTGGCCATTTTGTCGGGCAGTTTCTTTTCGATTTTCCCGAACCTTCCTTATGGTGGAATGTTGATATATTTAAATGGTTTTTAAAATCGGATAAAAAATTGTGACCTCCAGAGAATCCACAAGCTAAAAAAACTTGTATAAAAATCTCTATTGGTATTTTATTATATTGGCTTTTCCTGTTAACTTCTAAATTCTAAACACTCACTTTCTTTAAAAATTCCAAATATAGATCAAGCATCTGATAACAATGATTGCTTCTTTGTAAAATTGACTAATTTTATATTCTATTGTTATTAATAATTATAGCGTGATCTTATATGGTGGAAGACTGAAACATGTCGTCAATAAAATATGAAGTGTCTATTGTTTATTAGTTAGTACTAGCTTTCAGTGAAAAATAATATAAAACCACTTTAAGAATAGTTAAGGTGTTGTCAGACCTTGCTTGGCTAACAATGCTTTATTTCCCTCGTGTCTAGAATATAATATTACAACTGAATATAATAAACTCTTGAGAAAAGGGGAAGATGAAAAAATTTCTCATTATCGCGTCCTATATAAAGACAATGGTTATTAGAATTGGATTCCTTCACAGCATGTATGCATAATAATGAAATGAAATCTTTTAATATTACACATATCAAATGTCTTCTAGCTTATTTCTCCTGGGGTTTCATCAATTTGGCTTAGAAAATCTATACATAAATATTCTTGTACAATACTAACAAGAAAAAAATCTCATCAGGTTAGAAGCAGCGCTGGCAATGCATGACTAGTAGCGAACCAATAATTTGCAGGGAATCAGGAGTCTCGCACTTGACAAGTGTCTTATCCTGAAAGATAACGTGAGCACCAATTGATGAAGTTGATGAAGTACTTACGAGTCAAGAGACTTGCTCTTCCAGTAATTAATAAACATGGTAGACCTAATCCAAATTATCCAGCCATACGAAATTGAATTAAGAAGGGTTACTTAAGGAAATTGAGATGATAGAAATACTTGTTAGAAAAATAATGAAGGACTAAACCAGGATATAATGGCCAGGGTTTACATGTCCAATCTTACTATTTTACATAAACCCAGAAAAGCTGGCCAATAAATCTCTTTTATTTCTAGGCTACATTTACAGATTAAATCGACCATTCCTGGAAGTAATAATATCTGATGAACATATTCTATTTCTCTGCCAAAAACTTAGAATCATATTGATATATCAATTTGATGTCAAAGAACTGTTAACCTAACATTAATCTCTTTATTTCAATATGTGCATGTTGCCAACCAACCAGGTTTCCAGAATCTAGGCCAGTAACAATATTTGGCATCTCAATAAATATGATGGGTTTTTTTCCAGTTACCTGTATATGTCTAATAATAGACATAATCGATGGCAGTTCAACATATTGTTATGAAACTGTGCAGTGTCCATGGTACAGGGCCTGCCATTCTGAACTGTAGGGCCGAAGGGGGAACATCTATGGTCTGTTTGGGAGCAATTGGCCCAAATCACCTAAAACCAACTCTGCTCATGGCCCTATCAGTATACATGGTTTTATTGTGGAAAGAAATTTGCTGGTTTAATTGTATGCATTTTAATCTTAAATTAGAAGTGAAATGGGGTCCTACTTTCCTGCCCCAGGTCTGCTAACAAGACTGGTATACAGTATAGTATGGTGGAATTGTGCCTTGGCAGCAGCGTCCCTGTCTACTGTTTTTTAGATTTTCAACTGCTACAGGATCATTTAAGTGCACTCCGGTGTGTACACAGGACCTTGGTTTTCTGTCCGATCAGAATGACTAGATACTGTTCCTTGGCAATCCCTCCATCCTGCATCACTGACATGGTGAAAAAAGACTGGAAAATCAAGCGGAACTTCTCAGCCAACATCTAGGATCGATCCAGGGACATCCTGTTTACTGAGCCAGCACCTTACTCACTGATCCACGGTGGCTATTTAACTTAATCTGGGTATTCAGGAGGACCACACTAAATGCTGAACTCAATTTTGCTAAAAGTCAGTTCACAATTGAATTGAATTCAATAACCCTAACAAGCCACCCCTGATAGAAGATTTATCACTTACATCTGTGTACATTTAATGTAAATGTCAGGGGAATAATAATTCAATATTGTAACCCACATAACAAAGCACACTGACTTTTATCAATTAGGCTAGGACTGAACTATACCAGGCCCCACTTCTATCTAAATGTCTACCTGTCAATCAAATTGACAGCGAAATGTGACTTTAGTAGTGTATTTATAATGAAATACTGTAGAACTACAGATGATTATGACATGGTGTCACTTTCATACAATATCGAAGCATATTTCTAAATTGACAGGAAATCAACACTGTGTATTTCATAATTAGTTTTTATATTACAACAGTTTGTCGTAAAAGTAATCATCTTCAATTTATTTGTGACATGTATCCATTGGCAAAGAAAGATGAAACTATCGAGAGGGAGGAAAGGATGGTTGGTGCAGTTTCAGAAAGCAAGAGATGTCATATATATTATGTTAATTAGCATTAGACACTCATTTTTAAAAATTAAAAATTTCCAAAAAATTTTACCACTATTATACTAGTTGCAAGAATACAAGAAATT